CCACCTCTCACACGCTCTCTCTCTCAAATAGCTAAATAGAAATTTTAAATAAATAATAAAGTATAGAAATGTAATTGTATGCATTGACCTTGTATCCTATGATCTTGTTAAAAAGTTATTAGTTTTAAGAATTTATTTGTAAGCTTCTTTGGATTTTCTACATAAATGATTATATCATTTGTAAATAGGGACAGTTTTCTTCCTTTCCATCTGTGTGCTTTATATTTCCTTCCCTGGCCTTATTGCACTGTGTAGGACTGCTGGCACTATGTTGAATAGGAGTGGTGAAAGAGACATCCTTGCTTTGTTCTCGATTTTAGGAAGAAATCAGTCTTTCCCCATTAAGTATGATGTTAGCTGTAAATTCCTATAGATGCACCTTATCAGGTTGAAAAATTTGCCTAATGGTTGACTAAGAAATTTTATGATAAATGGACAGATTTTATCAGGTTTTTGGCTGTTATCCTATTTTATAGAATTCTGATGTGATCCATAATATCGTCTATAATTCACAAAAGTTGCTAAGAAAGTTGACAAGATAAATCTTATATCTTTGTCCCTGAAGTCTGTATGTTGAATATTAAAGTTGGAGAAGTTTGTTGCAATGTATGTCCTTTATTTATCTTAGTTCAATTGTTTCTTGGCCTTTTGGCTAAGATGAAGTGAACTTACCTTAGTTCACCTTCTGAACATCAGCATAATAAAAAAATTATATTATTAAACTTTAATTTCTGTGCCCTGGGAGTCTAACTGCTGGTTTATGGGTCAGTGTTAACTAAGTGGAAGTGGTTAAAATTCTCCTAAATAAGAGCCATGAAGATGTCCAAATCTTATTTCATTCTTAGGAATGTATCTGAAAATATAAATTCTATAGAACCAAAATATAGTTTATTTAGCACAACCAAAATGTCCAATATTAGGGCTGGGTTTCATAAATTATGGCATATTCAGTTCCTTAATAAACCTTTATGAAATGTCCATTCTGTGCCAGTTATTATCTTTGGCCCTAGGGTTACAGCAATGAGCACAAGAGACACATCGCTGCACTCCTGGAGACTACTTTCCATTGGGGAGACAGGCATAAATAAGATACATAAGTAAACATAATATGACAGATGGTGATGAGTGTTTTGGAGAAAAATAAAGCAGAGAGCATGAATAAGAAGTCCAGGCATGGGAGTGGAATGGGGTACTATTTTAAATAAAGTGATGGGTGGGCCTCACCAAACAATATAAAGGAACATGAAATATTAGAATTAAGAATACTCTCTAACAACGTGGAAAATTTTTCATGATATCTTATTAAATGAAAAAAAAAGGATACAAAATAAGATGTCTGCTGTGGTTCAAACATTTAAGTAGATACATACATATAAAACATAAAAAATGTAAACAGTTGTTTGTGGATAGTTTTAATATCGTTTTACAGCATTATTTACTCTGAGCATAATTATGTTTTCCATTTAAAACAAGAAAAATGTTTGGACGCTTGGTTGGCTCAGTTGGTTAAGTGTCTAACTCTTGGTTTTGGCTCAGGTCATGAACTCAGGGTTGTGAGACTAAGCCCTAAGTTGGGCTCCATAGTCAGTGGGGAGTCTGCTTGAGATTCTCTCCCTCTGCCCCTCCCCCTCTCTCAAATAAATAGATGAATCTTAATTAAAAAAAAAAGAAAAGAAAAATATTTAAGGTTCCCTAAGGCTAATTTGAAATTGAATGAAATGTGTGATGAGGATACACATAGAACTCACATTTGCTCTGGAAAAATTCTATTTGGGGCACAGCTGAGGAAGAATCTCTACTAAGGAATCTCATAAAAATATATATATTTTAAAGGAGATGAAAGTTACGTTGTTCAGGGTGCCGAGAACAGTGGTTGTGCAGTGTTGGCTGTGAGCTTGGAAATGATGGCAAGTTTAACATGTGTTCATAATTTATCTTATTTAGATTTGGCATGTGAATCTATTTTTTAAGATTGACTAAAATAAAATGTACTGACATATCTTACTGCAGAAACATTTTCTTCTGTGTTCAAGAGATGACAACTAATCACACAAGATGTGACTTGGTATCTATGTAGTAGTTCAGTTCCCTAAAGATTCAGAACGACAGGCTGCAACCATTGCCAGACAACGTCTTCCGATGACTCCAGGAGCTTATGCTTAGACTCCATGTGGGCTATTCACGTGTTCCTCTGAAAATGTTTCTGTGGCCTGGCTAAAGTATGGCAGCCCAGGCCTGGCTTATTCCCTCTGGTGTTGATTCAGAATTTCTAGGCACTGAGCAATCACTTTATCATCAAAGGCAGACGTGGTGTTGTCTTAGTGAAACACAAATGTCCTGAATATCTTGCATTCTTCTCTCCAGCATGTCACTTCCAGTGAGGGAAAATCCCAGCAGTCACAAAGCTTTCCCAGTGTAAGCAAGAGCTCCATGGTATTTACTCAGATTTTCTCTTCTGTTCTTTCTTCTTCTTCCTTTTTTTTTTTTAATATAATCACACTAGTGCTAAAAGAAAAAACAGATTATATAATGAACAGGCTCCATTGGATAGCCAAATTATTCTATTATAATGTAACCTTGCTTGAAAATGTTCAAGTTGCTTGAAAAACACACTGAGATATGAAATAACAGCTAGCTGGCCTGTGGGCAATACACTGACTAGCTTTGACTAGAAGAAGGGGGATGGAGGCCCCACACACTGTTTTCCTTCCCAAGGAAACCCATCCCCCTCCCAGTTACTGCTTCTTGGGGGCTATCCAATGGAACCTGTTCATTATATAATCTGTTTTATATCAGTGCCTAAATAAATGAAAATGTCTATCTTTTTTAATCTTTTTCCTAATCTATCTTTTTTCCTAATCTATCTTCTTCCTGTCTATCTTTTTCCTATCTTTTTCAGTTTCATGTTGGCTGGTGGTTAGAGTGCTCTGCGGTTGTTTCAATAAAGCACAGAATACTGTCAAGGTAAATATCTCTAGAACCAAATGGGTTCCCAGGCTGGTTCCTCAGTGACCTTGGACAAGTTATTCTACTTCTCACTCCTTCAGGTTTCTTATCAGTAAAATAGGAAGCATACTTCACAGGGTTTCTGGAAGGCTAAAATGAGTTCATTCTTATCACCTGATACAGAATACGTGCCTGTACATAGAAACTCATATTTCTCTTTCCTCAAAGGTGCTGTTTTTGTTACAGAATGCACACATGCATTATTTCTCACTTAACCCTGCAGAGAGGTATTGTAATCATACATATACAGATCGAGTGCCTTACTCTGTTCAGGCTGCACCAGATTACCATAGACTGGGTGGTTTCTAAACATCAGAAATTTATTTCTCACAGTTCTGGAGGCTGAAGTCCAAGATCAGAGTGCTGGCATGGTCAGGTTCTGATGAGAACTCTCTGCTGGTTTCCAGGCTGCCATCTTCCTGTTGTGTCCTCATATGACAGGAAGAGGACAACGGAGCTCTCAGGGGTCTCTTTCGTAAGAGCACTAGCTCCACTCATGGGTTCTTCACCCTCACTACCTCCCAAAGACTCTGCTTCCAAGTATCACTACTTTCTTGGATCAGAGTATAATGTGTGAATGCGAGCGGCTCAGGTGTGGAGTGTGAGTCTCCTTCCTTCCGATGTTCTCCTGCTAAATTGTTCTTCATCATGTATTTATGCAAACAGAAAACCAGCTGTCTCTGTAGACACATAATATAAACACATAGTACAAAATTTATAAGGTATACAAAAGGTAAACTGTAAAGAAAAGTAAGGCTTTCAACTACCTCTGTCCCCCCAGGCACTGTTTCTCTCCCCAGTGTTGAGTTTTCCTCAAGTGAATATTTAGATGTAGGAGTTTTCTGTGGCACGTCTTCTACTCCAGTAGGCAATCAGATGCAATATGAATTTTTCACTAGAAATATGTATTGTATGTTCACATCTAGGACACAGAAAAGGTTTGATACAGATGATGGGGCACTTCCAAAATCATTGGAGAGACCATGAGAAACACTCTGGGGAAGGCCTCCAAGAAGCATCTAGAACGCCACCAGAAAACTGACCCATCATGGGAGCAGCTACCTGTGCCCTACTGAGGAAGCTGCTTCCAGAACCTCTTCCCAAAGCTGCCACCACTGCCACTGCAGCGCCTTCTTCACACTCCCAAAAATGGCATTTGAACACTGGAACACAGGGCTAAGCCACTGCCTCAGTGCACTTGTTTCTTGACAGCCCATGCTGGAGGCTGGCCCCGGCAGTTGTGCTACAGAATTTCACCATACCATGGCTTCCCAGCCTTGCCTGCCAGTAGAAAATGTCCAAGCAGCAGGAAATGGCCTCAGCCTCATTTCTGCCTTTGAGTCTCAATCCAGTCTGTGGGGTTGGAGGAGTCTAATTCCTATCCAGAGCTCTAGGTGCCAGGGAATCTGGTGTGTAACACTGAGCCTGCAAGCTTGTGCAGTAGGAACACCCTAATCAGGATGAAAACTGGCACAGTAGTTTCTATTTTTAGTTTTAGTTTTTTTAAAAAAGTTTATTTACTTATTTTAGAGAGAGAGAGAGAGAGCACAGACAAGCGGGGGGCGGGGGGCAGAAAGAGAAGGGGACAAGCAGACTCCCTGCTGAGCGAGGAGCCCAACATGGGGCCTGAGATCATGATTCAGCCAAAACCAGGTGTCGGACACTTAACTGACTGAGCCACCCAGATGCTTCAGTAGTTTGTTTTAAAAAGTGCATCTGTGTGTATTAGCTTATGCTTCCCACTCCCCCCCCCCCCGCCCCTTTACTAGTTTATTTCCTCTCTAAGTGGTTTAGCCAAAGCCACGGATAATCTATCTACTCTTCAGTTTTCTTACTATTTTTTCTTTCAAGGCTGACTTGGTGGCACTAGACAGCTCCTGCATGGAAATGGACTGTGTATAGTGTATATGTGCAATATGTAATATAGTATGTAGTGTGTATAAATTTGTAATCTCATCTTTCACTCTATAATATTTTTTAGACTCCCATCCCCCATGGCTGCCATCCGACTTCGAGAATTTATCGACCACCGCCCAGTGGTCCCATCCAGGTAATGTTCTTCCAGACACAGATGCCATCCAGAGCTGTGGTAGGGCAGACTTGCTCACTGGCTGCTCTCTGATTGACAGACTTCTGTCAGAGATTCCAGTGACATTTCTTTGAGTTTGGAGAAAGTTGCACAAAAAAAAAAAAATCCCACACTCATGACAAAATCCAAACTCCAAAAAGATTAGAAGCCTATTGGGTTTGGCTTGGGAAGGGCTTCAGCAAGAAGTATGAGGAATCTCAGCCTAAATTTTAGCAGGGGCCCCTTTACTCTGCTTGGGATCAAACAAACCCCTTTGTGCTTCTGTCATATGGGAGGTGGTTGCACAGGTTAAAACCAAGTAGGATTCTTACTCTTTCTCCAAATTCATAGATGGCCCAAGGCCAACAAATCCTAGATGTGTTTTTTTATGCTAAATTCATCTTGCTGAGAGATACTGGATAATAATCCATAAATCCTAACCCAGTTTCCCTTCACCACTGGCCATAGGGTCTGCAGAAGTTCAGAAGCTATGAAATTCCAGCAGGAACCCTCACACTGTAAAGTGATTTTGAGGTTAGCCTCTTTGGCTTCGTGGTTTTGAGTAAGCCTCATGTTTTAGTATCTAGTTATTTTCAACAATGTTTAATCACAAAGATAAGTTCTTTTGCTTCCATAAATTAGTGAAGAAGAGGCAAGGAAAGGTTGCTTTGAGTCCTCTTTCAGAGAAAGTATGGAGTCTACCCTTTCCTCTAGGAAACCCCATGAGGAGAAGCTAGAGGGAAACCGGGATGGGTCTCCATATTTCCTGATTTCTGCCTCCCCACAAGCCCTTGGTCTTTCTGAGTGTGTTTGAGATCTGTCTTGTCCACTGTCAGGTTACTTAACTGTGGGTTATCCCCTGGGCAAAATGGAAACAAAACTCTCTAAGCTGCTGCTGCCTGGAGTTCTGTGGAACCAATCAGAGTCACTGGGCCTGGCCTAAGCCAGTCTGTGGGGGAGCCTGAGGGTTTGGGTGGAACATAGCACAGCAGGCATGGGGTTCATGAAGTCCTAAGACAGAGCTGGATTCTGTTCTCCGTGCTCATCCATCAGAGGCCCACCAGGAGGCATGCAGCCGGAACCAGGCTGGGGCCCCAGCCTCCCCACCATACTCACTGTGGAGCTGGTCCTCATTTACCTGACGCCTTGCCTGCCTCTGCAACAGTAGGGACCCAACCCCTCCATAGGTTCCTCACTTGTACCTCCAGGATGTATCTCCCACAGGAATGCTATCTTTTCCCCGTTTACCTCCAATGGCCACCCACTCCCATCCTCCTCTTCCCATTGTACAGAGGGCACCTCATAAAATGTAAATTGGATCAAAGCCCTCTGTTGCAGAAAACCCTGCAATCACTGCATTTTTCATAAAATCTAACCTCTGCTGGGGCCTCTATGGCCCTCCATGAACTGTTCCTGCCCCTGTTGTGGCCTCCTCTTTGGCCAGCCACACTGTCTTTCCTTTGTTCCTCCAACACGCCAGTCTCGCTCACACCTGGTATATATTCACTCATTTTGTCTTTACCATAGCTGTGAGAGAGAGAGGGGAAATGGAGACACGAGAGGTAAGGTGACTGTCCCAAGATCCCACAGCTAGGAAGAAATTGGCAGAGGTAGGGTTCGAACCCACAGGGCTGGCTCCAACATCTGTGCTCTTAATCCCTGCACCTGGCCACATGTCCAGTTAGGCTTACTTGCCTCTCTCTGCCCATCACTGGCACCTCTGCTGAGCAGACTGCCACCTCTGGTAGTTCCTCCATGCACATTTGTTGAAAAAAAAATAGAACATGAATGAATCAGTGAGATACAATTATCGGGTCATGGATCTGTGGCGTAGCCTCCTGCTGGCTGGTGGTACCTGTAGAAGGCCTGACCGCCTCCTGCTTCTCGGACAATCATCCAGTCACTCCCTGCATGCCCAGACCTTGGGACCACTTGAGGGAAAACTGAATCGCACACTGGCAGGGGCATCCAATAAAATTAAATATTCTGTGGTTCACCAGCAGGACTGATTACACAACTCTCATCAGAATTGTATAAGATGCAAATGTGACCTGCTGCCACCCAAAGCCACAGGCCCGTCACTCAGGCAGGCCTGAGCTCTGAGTTGGTTTGCCAAGAGCAGGACACTCCTGAGGTTGTTTCTTGTGGAGTACTTGCAGTGTGGTGTGGAAGAGAAAAGATGTGGAATCTGTGTCAGGCTTAAAATGGATCTTTAAAACACTGACTGAAGTGGTGTCTGGGGGACCCAGAGGCAGTGTGAGGAGCAGCTCTTCCTGCCCAGAGCTATGGCAACATCTACCACAGGTCACCATGTGCGTTCACAGTGTCTCATTGATCCAGTCACAAATCAGTGATGTTGGTATGCCCCCTACTTTCCTGATGGGGAACCTCAGGCTGTCCTCTTCCTGGAGGGGATGATAAGTCTGGGAGATGGCAGAGTAGGCATGGCAGTGTCCCATCCTCTGTGCTGACTAGCTTGTGTCCTTGCTAAGTGACTCATTTTCCTGAGCCAGCTCCTGACTGGCACAGCACTTACTCACTGTGTATGATTAGTGCCTGAATGTGGTTTTCCCTACCAGATCATCAACTCTTGGGGAGAAGACAATATTTATCAGCACTGTGTCCCTAGCACCCAGCACATAGCGGACATCATAGAGCCTTCAATGGAGACTCACCTCATTGACATGAAGGCCACTCCCAGCTACCATAGCTGGGTTATTTCTTCTTCTAGACCTTTGGTGCATGACTTCTACTTCCTGTCTGCCCATGAGAGAATCACAGAGTTCTATAAAAACAGCACTGAACTCTTGAACAAAAGCCATCCTGCATATGTAGAGGTGACTCTGCATGTACATGGAGTTCAGAGAATGGGGTTTGAACCACGGCTCTGGCATTTATCAGCCAGATGAAGTTTGGAGAGCCCACTTGACCTCTCTGATCCTCGGTCTTCTGTAACAAGATGTTCATAATATTGCCCTGGCAAGGTGACTGGGAATTAGATGAGGTCACCATCCTAAAGCCTGAGGCTCAACACAGACATAACAGAGGACTCAGAGCCACATAGGAGCATGGGCCATCTTGGGCCACGAGACCAGGCTCAGGAGGGATGGACACTCCTGGCCTCCCCTGTGCATACTGAATTTTGTCTATAGCTAAGCCCAGATTTCTGCTCTGATGACATGCACCCTCCCAGGGGACAAGTTTGCTCTTGTCTGGATAGAATACGTCACCTTGAAGAGCCAAACTATCAGGGACTGGTAAACAATGTATGGGGGAATCAGACAAAGCTGGCCTCCTGCTCCCACCCAAGAAGGAAAGACCTCCCTACATTCATTCAGGAACCCTGAAAGCCAGGTTAATTGACAGGTCTGAGCACAGCCTCGGCAGGGCTCCTCAGCCAGGCCTGGAGAGCCAGCACTGCTTCCCTGCTCATGCACCCAGTACCCTCAGGAGAGGCCAGCTACTGTGGAGCCTCTAGGAATACTGAATGACAAGCCAGGTTAGGCACTGCCCCCTTGCAAACCTCCTGATTGGGAGCTTCCTCCTGTGAGCTGAAGTTAGGCCACATGGGGAGCTTGGAAAGTCAACCCAAAGAGTTGGAGGCAAAATGTACCACTATTTTCCCCAAAAAAGAAAAGCTTTCTGCCTCTCCACACAGCACTCCTTCCCTCCAGCACCTACTTCCACATTTTCCTTCCCTCTCCTGGCTCCTCGGCCAAAACCTACCAAGAGAGATCCTCAGGGACTAAAAGCAGGGTATATTCTTAGGTTGCTCACCTATATTCAGTTAGTTATATTCAAGCTAGTGAAGAATCCATGGTCAAAACTCAGCCTACTGAAACGGCACAGCTATTTCGAGAAACCAGTGTGGTTTGGGAACCCCAGCTGGGTTTTCAACAACCTGTAACATGGCCCTAGGGTAATCTCTCCCAGTGTAGTGCTTCAGAGCAGGATGGGTGCCCAAGAACGTTCCACTCCCATGCACTCAGAAACGTCATTTTCCCCTATTATCATGCCAGTTTCTCCCTCTTCTTATGACTTAATCCCTGCTGTTATTTACTCTTCAGGGCTCAGTCATATTATCCCAGCCACGGGGCAGGCCCAGACAGTCTGTGGTTTTCTGAAAATCAGAGCTTCCTGAGGTCTTGTTTGTGTAGACAGGCCCACCCTGTTCCCAGTTCTTGCCTTTCGTACTAGTTAGACAGCGAGATTCCCACCCCACCACTCTGATCCCAACTCTGGCCACATCTTGGCTTCTCAAATTCCCCTCACCTAGAATCTCTTTGCCATTGTATTTGCCTGCCCAAATCCTAGGCATCACTCCCTCGTCTGTGCCCCCACTGACCCTTTATTCAGATCACTATTTCACACATAAAAGCATGGTGAGGACAAGCTCTGTGAGTGCAGAACACAGAGCATGCAGGCATGTCCCATGTATTCAGTGAACCCAATGCAGCTTTGGCGAGCTCCTTCATGCAAAACTATGTACTCCTTTCTACTAACTCTTCCCTTGGATCTCTGATGACACCCACTGAGTACTCAGAATCTGTGACAGGTCCCCAAAGACCTACACGTCACAAACTCTCTAAAGTCATTCTCCCCACAATGGTCACCTGCCTGTGTCCCCTCTGTCTCCTAAGGAATGGCAGCCTTCTTCCTTATGTCTGAAGCCTAAGATCTGTCCTTGTCTTTGACACCTTCCTCTCAGTTTCAACCCTTTCTCCCACAGCGTCTTTTATCCTGTCTGGCCACCTTCCCACCACACAGGGTCCCACATAAATGACCACTTTTGCCTCCTGGTCAGTCTCTGTACTTCTAGCCAGATTGTCCTCCACTTTTTTGTCCACATCACACTGGCAAAGATCTTTCTAAAATAAAAATTGCACTCTGTCATTAATCTTTTTAAAATTCTACCAAGATTCCCTGTCACCTATATGAGTGGTTCTCAACGTTTCAAGACACAATGCTCCCTTTATTTAGAACAAATATTTCCTACTACTCCTACTGTTCTTCTGAAATAAAACCTGCAAATAACATAATCCAACCACACATAATTTTAAAGTAGTTGCATAACACAATGACTATATTCTAAAAGGACTATGATTATAAAATAAGATGTCTTTGAAAAGGTGAGGTTTGGGCATTGCCACTCCCTCACTGCAACCCCGCCTTGCCTTGCCTCGCCTCCCTCTGGCTCTGGGGTTCAGCTGTAAGCTCCATCTCACCTTCACTCCCAGAAACACTCCTACTCCCTTTGTGCCTCAAAACTTTCTCAAAACACAGCCTTTCCCAGCCAGGCGAGGCTTCCTCCTCCAGCACAGATGTGCCCTGTGCTTTGGCCATCATAGTGCTTATTCATTTCTTATCTCATACACCTAATCAACAGAATTTAAAAAAAAAGAAAAAAAAACAAGAACATAAAACTTGTGAAAGTTTATAAACCTACCCAAAGTAGAAAAAAAAAACAGTATAAGGAGCTTCCATTTATCCATTTTCACATTTTGATTATTATTATTAGCATTTGCTCCCATGGTTTTACATATCCTATTTCTTTTCCTGATTTTTCGAACCTAATGCCTAACACATCAAATATTTTCTTATGAATACTGAGAACCCGATCTTGAAAAACAGGTAACAGAAGATGCTCCTGTCAAGAAATTCCAAGGGTTTCAAGAGCTCTGTGCCAGCAACTGGGGGCAAAGTACATGGATCTTTTATTAGACCACAGCTGGAATTCTTCTGTAAAGAAATAATTGTAGTAATTGCTTTTTATTTTTAAGGACCCTCTTACTTTCTCCACTAGTATATTCATCACTCATCAAGGAAAGGACATCCAAGGATATTACACCGGGCAGCTGGCAAGAGTCCATTTTGAGTCTAGTGTGAAGAGACCACCCAGGTGAGACACCTTTCCAAATCTTTGTTTTCAAAAATTTCACTAAAGTTAGAATAAACAAACAAAAAAGAAATGGGAGTCACAATTTGTAACCATAATAATAATAACAATAAATAATAATAGTTGTTATTTAGTGGATTCAAAAAGTTTGGAAGGAAATATACCCAACTGTTAACGATGGCTTTTTCTGAGTGGTAAGATGTGAGTATTTGTATTTTACTTTTTTTTTTCATTTTCCAGATTTTCTCTAATGAACATCTATTACTTTTATAATCAACAACAAATATAAAATGTTATGAAATCATTAGACAAATTTAAGAAACACTGTGAATTCAGAGTTTCAACTTGTTCAAAAACATACCCTTCCCGAGACTCTGTTTCCCTCTCAGTAAAATTGTGAGTTTGGCCTGAACAGTTTCTGCCTTTCCAGATGTGATGTTTAACAAAAAGAAAAAGAAAAAACAAAAAACAGCCTCTTGGACGTTATTTTCTAGTTTTGGGAAGCTAGAAACCACAATAGTTAGAAGCAGCAATATGAGTAACTTTTGAAGTGGTTGATCTTGGGCAATTTTAACTCCTTCTCTGGGAATCAGTTGCCTTACCTGTTAAATAAAATAACTGACATAAAATTCCAGAACATAGAAAGCACTTGAAATATGATTATTTTGACTTCATTGTCTAATACATTTTACAAAGTTCTTCTCTTAATGGCCTTTGATATAGTCAACTCCTGATTATCCTCTATGCAAAGAAAAGGAAGCCATGGCAGCTATAAAGAGCACATAGTCTTAGAAGATCAAACTAGAAGTAGTGTTAGAGGTCATTCTGATCTAGTCAGTGAATAAGACGGAGCCCAGAGAAGTTGGTTGGTGTGAAAGCTGGTACTTGGATCTATGCACATTTTCTGATTCTCAGTTCAAGGATTTGTTCTACCTCAGATACACATTATGTTGAACTCTTGCTGGGGCCAGCCCACCACCAGGGCTCTCTCCACGTGTACTCTGTAGGCTCTGATGACACCCCTGACTCCAACACCCAGTACCCATATGTCAGTCCTTCTCCCCATAGTATGGAACCTTGACCCACTTTGACTCTGACAAGATCAGTGCCTGCCCAAGATCAGCCTTAAGGGGAAAACTTAGTGCAGATGGCAATCAGTGATTTTAGCAACTTCCAGTTAAAAATAAGAAGGAAAAGACAAGACAAGCCCCACTCTCCAAAAAACAAGAAATAATACAATTCTTGGGACAAGTCCTAACTTCAGTTTTTGTGGTTGTAGTATAATTTTATAGGTGTCTAATGGCTTATCTCCCCCAGATATATTCCTCTACCAACTTAATGGTTTCAGTATTAGAATCCCATCCCTTGAATCAAAGTCTTTTCTTCAGGACACTGATGTATTACTTGAAGATGGAGAATATTTTGGTTCTGTCAAAAGACCCAAAGCAAAGACAGCACGGTCTGCTAGTCCAGCAGGGTAGATCTAGGGACAATCTCTAGGATGTGGTTCAGAAGCCAGAGCTGTCAGTGGCACAAAAGTGACCTGATGTCAGGGATGGTTACACAGAGCCCAACCTCACAAGAGACTCACCTGTTCATTAGGCAGCAAATGTTTGATCCACTGTGGGGGACATGCTTTCATAGGGAAAGGAGTGTTCCTGCCCACCATTTAAGGTGCCCATCTTACAAGACCCAGTGCCTATTGGGCATGAAATAAGAGCAAGTAGAGGCAGGCAGGAATTTTCGGGGTCTCTTCATGTCTACGCACCATCTGCCCACCAGCATTTCTCCCCCACCAGTACCATGTCCTCACCCTCACATTACTGCTCTTGTTTTTTCTGAACTTCAGGAAGAACCACTCCATTTCTGCTAAGCACTCTTCAGAGAAGGTCCATTATAATCAAGTTTTTACCCGAATATGGAAACACAATACATTATGATTATATTGTTTCGGTCACCTCGTTTAAGTGTGCTCAATCATGGTGATCCCATCAAGTAAGACTACATCTTACTACTAAATGATTGGGTAAGATGTTCCTAAATCTCACCCAACATCTCATATTTGCTCACTTCATGTATTTTATAGTTTAAAAATACCCATGTTGGGGCACCTGGCTGGCTCAGCTGGTAGTGTATGTGACTCTTGGTCTTTGGGTTGTGAGTTCAAGCCCCACATTGGGAGTAGAGATTATTTAAAAAAATGAATAAGTAAAACAAAATTTTTAAATATGCATGTTTATTACAACATTCAGAAAACATTAATAAAAACCGAATTGTAATTACCTATAATGTCATCACTCAGAGACAGACTATCATCAGAATATTCCAGATCTACACAAAATGGGATGAACAATATTTTGAAACCCCCTCTTTCCCCTAGTTTATTGAGATACAGTTGACATGACACTGTATTCATTCAAGGTGTACAATATAATGATTTACTATATGTACATATTGTAAAATGATCATTGATAAATTTATTTAATATCTATCACCTTGTATAGTTGCAAGTTTCTCACTCATGATGAGAACTTCTAAGATCTACCTGTCTTAGTACCTTTCAACTATACTATACAGTATTATTAACTATTATCATCATGCAGTACATAACATTTCTAGTACTTATTTATCTGGAATTTTGTCCCTTTTGACTCACTCATTTCCCTCATCCCCCAACTCTGCCCCTGGTAGCCTGGTAACCACTATTCTGTTCTTTCTATGCATTTTAGTTTTTTTTATATTCCATGTATAAGTGAGATCATACAATACTTGTCTTTCTTTATCTGACTTACTTCACTTAGCACAATGTTCTCAAGGTCCATCCATGTTGCAGCAAATGGCAGGTTTTCCTTCTTTTTATGGCTGAATAGTATTCCGTTTTAGATACATACACAACATCTCTATTCATTCATCCATTAATGAGCACGTAGATCTCTGGAGTGGTTGCGACAGAGTATAGGCCCATTTTAAAGCTATTAATACTCATCGCCAAATCATTCTCCAACAAGTTGCACCAGGGAATGTGTACCCTCACAAGGGCATGAAGATACTTCCCCCATTACATTTTGATTCTTCTTTACCTTTATCTTCAGAGGGTTTTTATCTGAGTGGAGGTACAGGAAGGCTGGAACTGATTTCAGGGTTGTCCATCACCAATTTGCACCATAGGGGTGAGTCTGGTCAAAAGAAAGCATTGATTCCTCGAGGGAACCAAACGTCCATAAAAAAAAAATTACAATGGGAGAGGTTACTGGGGAGATCTGGATTATAGGAAGTAGCCACGCATGAGCAGACCCAGTGGAAGTTTCAATGCAGGTCACCTTCTATAAGCTGTGACGGGGGAGGAGGAGGATGCTAATGCCAGGGAACAGTGGACCAGGATTCCTGAGTCACCTCCTGAAAACTGCTGGGCTGACCCTGGAGTTATGAAGTCTTGCCAATAACCTCTTGGCCACTTCCAAAGAGCGGACGTCAGCTGATGAGAACATGGAATGCTTTTCTTCTTCTGGGTGTTCAGCAAGCTCTTTTTTATTTTTATTTAGACATCTCATAGACTTGGCAATTCCACCCAAGAGAGAAAGTCAACATCAGCCTCAATTTGACCAACAAACTCTCATTCGATATATTTGTTTTCGAAGATATTTGCAGCCTGCGGAACGATGGTATAAGGAAACCACCTATCAAAGAGACTATTCTCTGCCATTTTACAACATGGGTAAGTCAGGTCCACTGCTCTGACTCTCTTGAGATCAACTTTGCTTCACAGGAGCCTCTTTCATGGGCTCACCGCCATCAGGGAGGGTCTGGGATCAGTCAAGTTGGGGGAGGGTGTGCATGTGTCTAGAAGCAGGAAGAATGTAGAGGCTGGCCCAAGGGCTGCTTCCTCCTCTCCTCTTTATTCTAGTCCTTAGAAAATTCAAGGATAAAAATGCACAAACATCCTTGGTAGGAAGCAGGCTAGAGGGGGCCTATTTTTCACTGAGCCCTTTGTTATAGTCAACAAATTCCTTATTGTGCCTAAACATACTGTTGAGGGAACTTTTTTCCCTCTTGTTCTCCCATTTTAAATGGCTTTATGACAATTATTGGCATTTGAAGGTATGTTTCAAAAATTCTACGTTCCCTGTATGTTGTAACAGGTGAATATGAAGGGCCCAACCCTCCTCCCCCCAGAGGTGACCCGGAGAGTATACAGGCAGACAGCAATGTAGACATTACTTGTATTCCTGTCGTTCTTGGTGCTTTGAATTTTAGAGAGGAGGAGGGAGCTGCTGCTTTCTAAATGAGTAAGCCCCACTCTTTCTGGGGCTCTTTTGCGGTGGCAGACACATACTCTGTCCTTCTGACAGCTCTCAGGTAGGTGCTATCACTTTCCCCATTTTACAATAAGGGAGATGAAGTTGCAGAGCCAATTAATTAAGCAGCCTCAGATGACACTGCAGTCCGCAGGAGAAGCAGAGTTCAGACCAAGGCCATCTGAAACATAGAATTCGGGGCTTGACCCTTAAGCCATGCTGCCTTTGACCTGGTCAGAGTGCCTTACACTCCTATTCATTTAATAGTTTGCTTGAGAGTGAGCCACTTTCTTTTTGCTGGAAATGAAAACGAGGAGAAGGATGGTGGGGGGGAGTGGCCTTTCCTTCTGTTCTCCCCCGAGGAGAGCAGCAGCCCAGATGGAAAGCTAAGCCAGGGATGGGGCTCGGGGCCCAAAGGAGCCTCAAACAACAACAGTCAGGAAGATGGGAAGCAGATGGAACCAGGCCATCTCCAGACAGTGGAGCCACCAAAAAGGGGCAGTAGATGAAGCAGGATGGGCCATATGGGCAGGAGGCATCTGGCCTAAGAAGTTACCTACCAGCAATGCAAAATTGGGGTCTGGGAGGGCAGAGAAAGTTTGAGGCTGAGAAGGGAGCTGAGAGAGGAAGCAGGCAGCTGAGATGAGCTCATTTATGGAAGAAGGTGCCAGGAGGGGGTGTGGGATGGTAGAAGTTCAGGTTCCATGAGGGTCCTGGGAGGGCTGTATTAAAAGGATGGAGTGAGTGGTGGTGCAGGTTAGGGGCTGAAGGGTGAGGCCTGGGGGGACAGAAGCCACCAGGGCCTGAAGTACTGGAAAGAAAAGGTGGCCAGGAGGTGTCAGTGGGGCTCCAGCAAAGCAGTTTGCCCTTTCAAGACTCACTGAGCATGAAGTCTGCTTCCTTCTCATGTGGGAATCCAGGCAACCCTCGACTTACCAAAGTGATAGTAAATAGGACCTTCTTTAGAATTCCTCCACTGTGAGGGAATCCAGTTAGACAGACACAAAAGGTTTTCCCCCTGCTAGTTTTAGATGACAATCCCCAATTCTTTCCAAATCTACAGAACCAGGTGTTTAGCAATACAGTTCGACATTCACCGTCTACTGTGTCCCCAGCACCGTGCTGGGTGCCATGGGAGGAGGTGAATGCAAGTCCAGGTTTTGACCTCAGCCATGGGGAGTTCCCAATCTAATCGGGAAGCTAAGGCAACAACCAGCCTATCAGAGATAGGAGGAACTAGTAGAACAGGAAGATGGAATCTAGAACCTGTAGCCATGGGGACCCAAGCTGGGCCCCAGTGGACGAGGTCTGAGGCAGAGGAGAAGTGGTGTACACTGCAGCCAGGGACAGGGTAGGGGGTATAGCAAGGCTTGTGGAGGGTGGGAGAGCAGGAAGGACTCCAGACATGAGGACGCTGGCCCGCCTGGGCCGGGCAGAAGGAGGAAGTGGGGAATCACCTGTGGCAGCAGAGTAGGACAGAATGGCTGGAAATGAAGAGGAGCTCGAGGAGGGAATCTGGAAAGTTGAATTTGGACAATCAGAGCCATCTTAAGACAGGGGGAGAACCCGGAGGCTGTTGGCCTGTCAGCCTGCTCAGGATGGGTTGGAGAAGACATGACGACATTGGCAGTCAGGCAGGATGGAGCTATGGGAGTGTGGGCAGGACTCAGGCCTTGGGGGGCTGCAGGCCTGCACATTCTAGCTCTGCCATGTCGGGCAAGACACTTGGCTTCTCTGAACCGATCTGTGCCTCTGTCAAGTAGAGATTCAAAGGCTCTATATTTTAGGATAGCTGGTAGGATTTACAATATCTGTCATGTGCTCAGAACTGTGCTAAGTGATATGCGCACATGTGTTTACATACACTCGCGGTTGCAATGGGTCATAATAGCCCCCATGAAGGAGGTATTATTATTCACTGCATGTAGCAGAAGAGAAAACCGAGTCTTAGAGATTTTAGGAAACTTACTCAAGCAGCTTGTAAATCGTCAATCCAGGTCATCCAGATAGGTCATACTCCAGACCCTGGTTCTTGGATTGGACTGAGGAGGCTTCATGGGAAATGGAAAGAAAATTCATGTGGTGTAGCATTTGGAGTGAGAAAGGGTGGTATTAAAAGAGAATTCACATGAGGGAAGTTAAAGCTCACTTCTCAGCCTTCTGATTCTATATAGCAGGATTGTTGGTGCCTCTAATAGAAATAATGGTTTTGGCAGAAGAGGTGTGAGGTTGGCAACTGTGGATGACTGAGAATAAGGTGCTAGAAAGTGCAGGCAGGAAACAGGGTCAGATAGTCACCTCCTCAGTGAGGTCTGAAGCCTGACCAATTCAAGAGGTAATTTATGATGAAATAGTCACTGCTCTATTCATTGAATCACTGAATGCGTATTAGCTATCTCTTGTGGAGTAACATATCATTCCAAAACCTAGTGATTTACAAGATAAATGATGATTTTTATTTTTTAACGGGGCAGTTCTGGTTCAGAGTCTTTCAAGGTATCAGCCAGATGTCACCAAGTGCTACACCATCTGAAGGCTTGACTGGGGCTGGAGGAGCCACCTCCAAGACAGCTCATTTACATGGGTGTCACTCACATGCTGGCTGGTGATGGGAGGCCTTTGTGGTCCAAGTGGCCAACCCACAGGGGTGCTAAGTGCCCTGCAGGCATGCAGCTTCCCCTAGAATGGGCAATCCAAGATGAAGGGGGAAATTGCAATGCCTCTTATGACCTAGATGCAGAAGTCACACACTGTTGTTTCTGAGGTGCCCTACTAGTGACACACAGCCAGCCCTGAGGCACTGTGTAAGGGAATTACATCAGGCACGGATACCAGGGAAGAAGAATTACTGGGGCCCATCTTGGAGGCTGGGAACCATAAGACAATTCATTCATTGAGTTCTCATTATGAACTAGCCTCTATGCTGTCTGCTGGGGTACAGTGACCAGCACAGACAAGATACTTGCTCTCGTGGAGCTGACATTCTTTGGAAGGGCAGAGTACAGAGCATAACGAAGCACATTTTTTAAAAATTTGAAATTATAGACTGTAGTGGTGCTGTAAGGAAAATAAGCAGGGTGATGAGGGTCACTAAGGGAGGCTACTTTTAATGGGGCAGTCAGGGAAAACCTCTATACAATTTTAGCTGAGCCCTGGAATATAGGAATGAGTCACATAAAGAGCATTCAGGAGAAAGGAGCAGTAAGTGCAAAAGTTTGAAAGTGGGGAAAGCCTTGACATGTTTGAGGGACAAAAGGAGCCCAGCAGAGCTGCTGTGTAGTCAGTGAGGGTATGTGTGGTAAGATGCCTGAATTCCAGTCAAAGAACAAAGAGAAGGGTTCCAAAAAGAGGAGTGACTTATTACTTGTATTTTTAAAAGATCACTTGGGCTGCTGCTAAGACCTTGTTTGGAGGTACGGCATGCAGACCAGTGGGGAAGCTGTTTACTAGTTTAGAACAGAGATAATGGTGGCTTGGAGCTTCAGAAGATGAAAAAGAATGAATGGATTCCAGAGATATTTTGGAGGTGACATCAATTGGACTTGGTGATAGATCTGCTGCAGAGAGCATTTTCATTCATTTGTCTGTATTCTTTCAGTAAATAATTTGAAAGCCAGGCATTGTCCAAGGTTTTGGCAATACTATGACAAGCAAAAATAGACACAAGTTTCTACAATCAAGAAGAATGGGGAACCAGGTTAGAAATCAGCATAAAATCCACCTGTCATAAATGCTATGAAGCAGAGTTTATGTGGTGCTATATAGGAGCATTTAATAGATCAGAAAAGGCTTCCCTGAGGAAATGATGAGCTAAAAGTTCACTAGGCAAGGAGTGGGGGGGAAGAGCTTCACAGCAAGTGTGGCATGTGCATAAGCCCTGCGACAGGAATAGGACGTGTTTGAGGAACCAAAAAAAATTAAGAATGTGATAAAGCACAGAAATCCAGAAGGGTGGAGTAGGGAGGGACTAGAGAGATGTAAACATAGGAACAAGGAAGGGGGGAGGGTGTTTACAGGTCATTTTCAGCTCTAGCATCCTCTAGTCTGAGATTTTTTTTTTTAAGATTTCATTTATTTATTCACGAGAGACACACAGAGAGAGGCAGAGACACTGGCAGAAGGAGAAGCAGGCTCCCTGTGGGGAATCAGATGCGGGACTCGATCCCAGGACCTGGGGATCACGACCTGAGCCAAAGGCAGATGCTCATCCACTGAGCCACCCAGGTGCCCTCTAGTCTGAGATTAATGGGCAACCGCTGAAAAGTTTAAAGGAGGGTTGAAGTGCCATGATTAAAAGTACATTTTGAAAAGACTGCTCTAACTGTGGAGAAGGAAAAGGTAGCAGGGTGGGGTGTCGGGTGGGGCAGAGATCGAATATGGTGCATCAGTAGGCCATGGCAGTGGTTAGGCTAAAAGGTGCTTAACTTCAGTGACATCACTTTTAGCAATCCAGACGCCCAGGATAGACCCAGACCAATCAAACCAGGATCTCCTGGTGGGAAGGGAGTGGTCCCAGGCATCAGTAATTTTAAAAACTCCCAGATTCTTCCACCATGCAGCCAAGTTTAGACTCTGCGGTTCACGCAGCTGAGGATAGCTGTTAACAGTAGAGAATTTGCAAGATACTTACTTGATGCCTATTTTGTAAACAACAATCAGGCAGGTCTGGTCTGCAAAAGACTCAGCAGAGAGGTCACAAATCTGAGCTCTGAGAGAGAACACAGCAGTGGCTGCTGACTCAAGCTTTTGTTTGAATCAAGAAACTGATTCCTTAAAGGAGTCTTTGCAGGGAAGTGCTTCTCACAGAATAAGATCGACATTAAGTTGTGTATCAAGGTGTGGGGTTCTTTCTCTTGACCATCTGACAGTCTTTGTGATCAGATTTTAAGGGTAGGGCTTACGTCTTGATGAACACTGATTTGCAGTTCACGTTCAGTTCTTACTTCTTTTTGGGAATTGGTGAGAAACAGATTACATATAGATCGTGATAGATCAGTTATTGCTCAAGAAATTCTTCCTCAGTAAAAATTCTTTCTCAGCACATAGGGGTTCATTCATTTATTTAGGAAATATTTATCAAGCACAGACTATGTACAAGACATAGTATAAGGAAAGCAGATTCTATTCTCAGAGAACTTACAGCACTGTAGGATAGGATGGCCCCTCAGACAAAACTTGCCCTTGTATTACTCACCCTGGTACCAAATACTTAAAAGAATAAAATACATGATCTCGGTAGCAGTCTGACCTTCAGTTCTCTCATCTGCAAAAAGGGTAAAAATAGTATCTACCTACCAGAACTGAGATATCCATATAAAGACTTTAGCATTTTGCTTGTATGTAACATTAATAAGCCTTCAAAAAATGTTATTTAATAAAAATTAATAATAAATAAAATAATAATTCATTATTATTAATTATTAATTATTAATAAATTAAATAATAATTTAATAATGTAATGCTATTACATTATTATTGTTGTTGATCAAAGAATTAATTAACATGTGCCATAATAAATATTTGTAAACAACAACAACAAAACCCTAATGCAATGGAATTGTATCTTATACTGAGATTAAGTTCTCAAACCAGTGCATAAGGTAATAATCACGTATAATCAAAGTTATTCTTGAAAATCTCTTAAATTAGTATAATATTAAGTGATACTATATTATTAAAGTAGTTGGAATAAATGGGATTTGGCAAGTTGGTTAAATTTTCCCTGTAGTTCTCAACTAATGATTCATTTTATTTTTCAAAGACTGTGATTGTAGATAAGAGGTTATAAAGTACAAGGGAACTCCAATGGGTATGAATTTAGTGATGGTAACAACTGAAGTTTGATATAAATATCATACAAACTGGCCCATTAATAATATATTGTTAAAGGGTTTGGGGGTCTACAATTAATACGTCAAAATGCAAATTTATGATTGATTTGATTTTATTTACATTTGGGCATTAATTCAGTGATATGCCTCTTGATCAGAGATTGAAACACAGAAATAACCTTTTGACTAAGTGTTTTTCTCTCACATCTTTTACTTATATTCCTTTGTCTTAAATCCCTCGAATTATTTTATTGTACACAATTGACAGCATGTTAAAACTTAGGAGTGAATGGTCTTAAAATAAATCATTATTCTGTTTTAAATTCCAGGTTGCAACCAGAAATTAGCCACAGTTTCATCGAATCCTACACCACTAAATTCACTGCCAGAGTTCTACTGTTGTGAAGCGAGGCAGCTTTGAAGGAAAACCTTTGCATTTAAAATAATCATGGCATTTGAACAAAACATTTGGAATTCTTACGTGACTCTTTAAGACGAAAATAATTATAACAGAACTAATTTTAAGTATGTATCCAAATGGTTACAATCCTGAAACATTTACACATTGCAAATTCTTTTCAGATTGAGGTAATCAGCCAAGGGCAGGGAATCAAGAGTCAAGTTTAAGAGAACTTGTCATCTGTTTTCACATCAGCCCCAACACCAGTCTCATTGCTGGCGCTTACAAAGCATCTTACATATAACTCAATGGTTATACAGGGGACCAGTTAGGGATACAATCTGCTCAATAACTGCATCATTCACTATTGAAAAGAAAAAAAAAAAAAAAAGAACCTGTGATGTAGTCAGGGAGGAAGACTGCAGGCACCACAGACCATAAGGTTGCTCTGGATGCAGAAACCCAGATACAGTTTAGGGCTGTAGTGAGCTATGAGACTGGTTTAAAAAAAAGGATTAATTGAAAGTCTGTATACAGAGTTAATACCCCTATCTGAACAACGGGGCATGGATTCCCCAGGCAAAAAGTTAGAGGGCATTTTCTAAAGAAATTAATGATTCCAAAAAAAGAATCCTACATTCTGCCCTTAGTAACCACCCAACGTACAAGTTAGGATCCCTACTCAACACCCCAAAGTGAAGCCTACCAGTTGACAAACTTCCCCAGGAACACAATTTCTGATAGTGTTCCACTGCCATAGTCTTAGATGTGAAGAGCCAATCAAGGATCACCAGAGTTGGAAAAATAACAGAAGATAAAAGACAAAGACCAAAATAAAGAAATTATCCCAGAGGAAACAATTCAGGGAACACCAAGGAATCTAAAACAAGCTAACAAAGTAACACTGTCATCTGACAAGGGATGTGTCAAAATAATTACATCCACAAATATGAGCAATTTTCCAAACCTCTTAGAAATTAAAAATGTGGGGATGCCTAAGTGGCTCAGTAGTTGAGTGTCTGTCTTCGGCTTTAGGGCGTGATCCCAGGATCCAGGATTGAGTCCTACATTGGGCTCCCTGCGGGGAAGCCTGCTTCTCCCTCTGCCTGTGTCTCTGCCTCTCTCTCTCTCTCTCTCTCTCTCTCATGAATAAATCAATAAATCTTTAAAATAAAGAAAATTAAAATTGTGATTGCTAAAGTTAAAAATTGGACAGGATTGGAAGAAAATTCAGAAAAACTTTATATAGAAGAGAAAGGCAAAGAAAATTATTGTTTTAAGAGAAGAGACACAGAGGGGCACTTCGGTACCTCAGTAAGTTAAGTGTCCCACTCTTAGTTTTGGCTCAGATCATGAGATCAAGCCCCACATCAGGCTCCACACCCAGCGAGAAGTCTACTTGAGATCCTTTCCTGCTGCTTCTCCCTCTTCTGCTCCTCCTCCTGCTCAAGGGCTCACTCTCTCAAATAAATAAATAAATAAATAAATAAATAAATAAATAAATAAATAAATAAAATCTTAAAAAAAAAAGAGACATAGAATAATAAATCAGAGGGTCTATCATCTGACTAATAAGCATCCTAGAGACTGAACAGAAAATCAGAGGAAATCATCAAGGGACTAGAAACCTCAAATGCAGTGTGTATGCTGTGGCCTTACACATGAAAACAGAAAATAAAAATAACCAACTTTTGGTTTCACTGATTTCTCTGTTATTTTCTAGTCTCTATTTTGTTTCTCTTCACTCTCATTTTTATTATTTCCTTCCTTTTACTGGCTTTGGGTTTCAGTTACTCCTTTTTAGCTCCTTAAGTTATAAACTGAGGTTGTTGATGGGAGACCTTTTACTGCTATCAATTTCCTGTGGAGCACCACTCATGTTTGCAGCATCCCATGGTTTAGTATGTTGTGTTTTTGTTGTCATTCAACTTTTAAGTGTTTCCTGATTTCCCTTGGATTTCTTCCTTGACCCACTGGTTAAAAGAGTGTTTTTAAATCTCTACTGTGAATTTTCCAGTTTTCCTCCCACTTTTTTTTTTTAAGATTTTATTTATTCATGAGAGACACAGAGAGAGAAACAGAGACATAGGCAGAGGGAGACACAGGCTCCACGCAGGGAGCTGCACGTAGGACTTGATTCCAAGATCCTGGGATCCTGACCTGAGCTGAAGTCAGATGCTCAGTACTGAGCCACCCACGTGCCCCTAGTTTTCCTCCTGTTAAAGGATTTCTAGCATCATTTCATTTTCATCAAAGAAGTTACTTTGTAGGATTTCAATATTTTAAACTCTGAGACTTGTTTTGTGACCTAACATAGGGTCTATACGGGAGAATATCCCATGTGCACTTGAAAAGAATGCGTATTCCATTATTTTGAGGTAAAGGGTTTCATAAATGTCTGTTAAGTCTGGCAGGTTTGTAGTATTATTCAAGTTCTCAATTTCCTTTTACCTAAATGTTCTATGAATTACTGAAAGTGGGGTATTGAAAACTCCTATTATCAAAGTACTATTTCTCCCCTCAAATCTGTCAACATTTGCTTTATGTATTTGGGGGCACTGTTGTTTGATGAGTATATGTTTATAATTACTACATCTCTTGATGATTTGACCCTTTTATTAATACATAAGGTCCTTTGTCAGTTGTAATAGTTTTTTACTTAGTCTATCATATATGATATTAGAATATCTTTTTCCATTCTTTTACTGAAAATAACCTAACTCAAGAATGGGCAAAATATTTGAACAGACACTTCACCAAAGATACATAAATTACCATGAAAAGGTATTGCAACATCATTAGTCACCTTAGAAAAATGCAAATTAAAACAACTCTTCACACCAATTAAAATGGCTACAATAAAAAAGACATACTATTTATTATATGTATTGACAAGGATATAGAGAAATAGGAACCCTTCATACCTTGTTGGTATGAGTGTAAACTAGTGTGTTTTGGAAATTTCTTTTAAAAATTAATTATAATTAGGATTCAGAAACTCCACTCCTAGGTGTCTAGCTAAGAGGAATGAAAAGATATGTCCACATAGATTTACAAATGCTCACAATAGTATTTTTCATAAAAAGATAAAAATTGTAAATAAAGTATCCATGAACAGATGAAGAAAAAGGTGGTATAGCCACATAACGGGCTACTGTTCGGCAATAAAAAGGATGAAGTCCCTGGTATGGCCTCATAACATTACACTAACTGGTAACAGCCAGATGCAGAAGACTCCATATTACATGATTTCATTTATGTGAAATGTCTGAGAAAGGCAATTTTATGGAGGGAGATTTGTGAGGTTCGAGGTGGTAACGGGGAGTGGCTACAAATGGGCACAAAGAGATTTTTTTAAAGATTTTATTTGAGAGAGAGAGAACAGGGGAGGGGCAGAGGGGCAAGCTGACCCCTCCCCCACTCTCGCCCTAATAAGCAGGGAGCCTGACCCCAGGACTCTGAGATCATGATGTCAAACACTTAACCAGCTCAGCCACCCAAGTGCCTTTGGCACAAAGAATTTTTATGGGGTGATGGAAACATTCTAAAATTGGATCGTGGTGATTACTAACTAAATCAAGTTATATTCTTAAAACAAGTGAATTTTATGGTATATAAATTATACCTCAATAAAGTTGTTTCAATAAAAACCATTGTGTATGTATGGATAACTGACAAAAATAAAACAAAATCAGACCAAGAAGTCTCTAAGGAAGATGGATTGACATTGTGCATAAAGATGATCCAAATCTTATTTTCCTATACAGGTGGATGCAGTTATAAATGAGAAGCTAGGCTAATGGTATATACATTGATATTCCCAAACAATAATCTTCTTCAGTTTTGGGGAAACAAATAAATGAAAGCAGTGGGAAAGAGTTACAGGGGTATAGTCATCTCTTCCCTCCAAATTCTGGAAGCTAAGGCAATTATATAATATTGGAGGCTAATATATACTATGTGACTGCAGAATCCAGTGAAAGCAGTTTTCCCTGCATTCACTACCTTTGTCTTTGTGTCACTGTGGAAGTTCATTCACAGGGTTTCTAAAGATTGAGCCTATAAAGTGATGCCAAATGCCAGCATTCCAACCATACTTCCCAAAGGTGTATAGACTATGACATATAAAGTGGATTTCTGAAAGTATTAATCACTAAATATACTTGGTTCTCAGGTACACTTGACACAGCAAATTATTCTCAGTAAACTGTTGTTGCTTATTTCTTAAAATACTTAAAATAGTATGCTTTAAAAAATTTAATACAAAGATGAATTGGGGAATCCTCCAAGTCCTCTCCAAGTGACCAATGTTAACTATTTGACATATTCCCCTACATACTTTGTCTTAGCTTTAGATCAACAAATAGTTTTCAATTTTCTCCTTCCCTTCTCCTTCCAAATGGAGTCACACAGAAAACTTGCTGTGGGTCATGTCAGTGTTTCACGGTCATCTTATAATCAACATGCATTGATCTAACTGGATATTTTTAAAGATTTCATAGAGGATCATGGTGTACCATTAATGGACATTTGTGTTTCCAATGATACAATTATATGCAAAATAGGGCTGTGTTTTTTAAGGGGTGGGGGAGAATGGGATTGCTGGTGGGTCAAAGCATTTGCAAATACAAATTGTACCAGAAATTGCCAAATTGCTTCCCCCATATTGTAGCAATTACCCCCTGGTCAGGAGTATGTATATGAAAGGGCCATAGCACTGGTTTTACATATTTACCACTCTGAGATGGAAAGTGGTATCTCATTATGTTAACTCCCATTTTCCTGTCTGTAGGGGACAAGGCATGCCTTTTCGTGTTCTGGGCCATTTACATTTATTTTTCTGTGGATTGATTGGTATGTATTGCTTTACCCATCTTTTCTGTTAGTTGTCATGTTCTTACTTGTGGCAGCTCTTTGTGTCAAGGGATTTGTGTTGAAATATTTTTTCCCAGTTTGCTTTTTGGTTTCTCAGGATTTTTTTGTGTTCTTTGTTTTTTTAAATGAGCTTTGTTCATAAGTCTTTAAAAATTTTTTAATTTGGTCAAATCTGCACATATTTCCTGATAGTTTCTAAGTTTCCTGATTTTTCTTTAGAAGACTCTCCTAAAGATATTCCTATATTACTTTCATTAAAACTTTTGTGATTTGAGTTTTATTCAATCTGAAGTTCCTATTTTAAGATTATCATTTTTTAATGCACTTTTCCTATTAACACAAAATTTCCATTTTTAGCTCATACCAAGTTCCCAAACATGTTGCATCTACTTCCAAAATGCCCAGTCCATTCCCCTTGTATATTTGTTCATTCCCATGACAATATCACATACTTTGACAACAGGAGCTTCACGATGTTTTAACATCTGGTGGGGGGAAAAGTCTCAACACATTCCTTTTTCAAAAATATCTTAGATATTATTGCACATTCATTTTTCCACTAAAGTTTTGATACACTCTTGTCCAGTTGGACAACCCCCTGGCAATTCTGACTGGAATGGCATTCAATTCACATACTCATTTGTGAAGGACATTCATTTCTATCAATCCATTAATATATAAAAAGTAAATAGGCCATCACCCCATTGAAATACCTTGTTCTGCCACCTAGTGCCCCTCTACTGAATTTTTAAGATTTGAAGAGTATGCTTCTCTTTCAGTTTTTCTGTGTCATTATGCCCCTTTAAGCATAGTGATTACATTTTGGCTTTGTCCTTTTCTTTCAGTGGAAACATATTTTGGTTATTTGGCAGAATCCTCCTCCAACTTCTTGCGAGCCTATCTGCCTCACCAGCCCCTCACTCATTTTGTTCAGTTATTCCAACTTTTCCAAGGTGTTTCCAGCCTCCATGCCTTTGCACTGTCCCTCTGACGACTCATCCCTTTGGTCTGTTTGAATGCTATTTCTGCTAAAGGCTGATCTGACTCCTTCCAAACTTAGATTAAGTTCTCCTTCATAGCATCTTGCACTCTCCCACTGTACCACAGATAACCTGCAAATACATTTGTCTGACATGCTGCCCCACAATACACTACCACGTCCTCCAACACCTAGTAGATTCTAGCATATACTCTTGTTCAATAAAGATTTATTAGTGTAATACTGTTATCCAGGATTTCAAAAACTGAACTGTATCTGAAGAGCAGAACCAGAACTCTCTTAACCAACTTAATTATCAAACAGCTCACTTGTAATGACAGGAGAGAATTACTCTGGTCAAAAATAAGTAAATGCCTATCAAATCAATAGGATATCTGTATTTTTTTTTTTTTTTTGGTTTAAACAAAAAGCACTGGGATGCCTGGGTGGCTCAGTGGTTGAACATCTGCCTTCGGCTCAGGGCGTGATCCCGGAATCTGGGATTGAGTCCCATATTGGGCTCCTTGCAGGAGGCCTGCTTCCTCTGCCTGTGTTTCTGCCTCCCTCTCTCTGTGTCTCTCATAAATAAATATAATCTTAAAAAAAAAAAAAAGCACTGACTCAGAAAATGATTTTTTTTTTTTTTTTGTAATCCCTACACGGGGCTCAAATTCACAACTTAAGATCAAGAGTTGTATGCTCTTCTGAGAGAGCCAGCTGCCCCTAAGATATTTCTTTAAGTTTACTCATTTATTTTTTAGTAATCTCTTTGGAGAATGAGTTCTTCACATCTGCCTCTGGACCATTATTAAAATTATGTTTCCGTAACAGACTTTCAGCCAAGATGAGAATAAGGACTTAAAAACCTAATTTCAACTCAACCTGATTTGAAGTTCAAGTAGGAAGATAAAGGGTAAGAAGAAATAAAAGCCCATTCAATTTCCATTAGAATAAAAATTATTTATTGTATATTAAATATAAATTTTACATAAAGGTTATTATTGATTGGCGATGGGCTTGTAAGATCCTCTGTATTATCCTTTTGGTTTATTGAATCCAACAAGGCTGGCTCTGTTTTAGAATTTTCTGAACTAAGTATTAATTAAAATATGTCTAGTGAAGACAAAAAATATTTACATTATTTTCTAAGATTCTGTTTTGATCTCCCTCTCCTCACCTCATCCTTACATACTACAGGGATAAAGCTCATCTTCTCTATATTAGTATTGCCAGTACTTCTCTTACCAGAACAAAACACAATACACAAACCATACTAGAAATATTTGGTTCTTTTTAATCAGCTATTGATGGCATAATAAAATAAATTTAAGTGGCACCTAATTTTAACATTTAAAATAGTTCACTGAAGGATAATCTACAACACAGTATGTTAAGCCTAATTGTGAAAACAAAACCTCTTTTTTTCCAAGAAAGAAAAAAATAAAGGCATGATCAAAATTATGACTGACAATTTGGGTTCATTTGGACAATTATATAAGATAATCTTGTAGGCATACTGGCAGGCACAATGCTGAAAATCAATCCACTAGATTTAGAAATAATGGTAAGATAGAAAAGGACAGCTATACATTTCATAGTTAATGCCTGAAATTAAAGTAAAATATCCACCAATTATCACAATGATCTTTTAATGACTAATTTTTTTTAAACATTAAGATTGTTGCTTTAGGGAACACCTTTCTCTGAACATTTAATTAAATGTCCAATGTATTAAATAATTTACAGAGAGAAACAAGTTTTGTGTTCTGTACAAATTCAAGGATACATGAACATAATCCCCTCCCCCCTGCCAAAGCTCAAATTTGCAATGGTCTCAGCAGAAAATAAACAGTTCACAAGTGAAAGAGAATTTATAGCATTACAAAAGTTTACAGACCCTTCTTCTCATCATTTTTGTCGAAGAGCAAAGATCACAATGACAAATTGAATGACCAGAATGTAAAAAATATTTGTGCAAAACTGCATTAATTGTTCTTCCCATTTAATAGAGGTAAAAACCAAAGAACATACAGTGACGATAATGAAGAAAAACTACACTGAAAGGAATTCTATCTTAGATTTCAAACAACATGGATCATACTATGACTAAACACGGACAGAAAACGTGGCACCGTGAGCAGCAGGAGCAACACATGACTCGGCGATTCTGCCAGCGAAGGCAGCTGACACTGGAACACGCCAAAGTATCTCCTCACCAGCTAGCCATCTTGAATGACTGGAAACAACTGGAGGGCTTAAAACTCAATTCAATGTCTTTATTCTTGAACTTCGCAGATTGTAAATGTAATATTTAAGAAAGTCCTTTCCCCTCCCTTCAAGGAGTGTTTCTTGAGTCACTGGAAATCCTTAAAAGAGTTGAATCATAGACTCTCTGGATTTACCTACACCGATCCATTTAACTGGGAGGGGAGAAAAAGGTACAAGAATAGTATTATTTATAATGTTCAATTCTTGGGAGAGAAAAGACCCTCACTTTTCTCAGGGTCACTATTTAACAGTGCCAGGGGCCTTTTGTGATAGTATATGGCACCACCCTTATGCTTTCACACATTCTTTTGAGATAGCTTCTAACTTCCTTTTATTAGGTGCTAGCTGTGAGCTGCATTCTAGCAACACTTGTTTTATCCTTTGCTGTCCTGCTGGAAGAACGTGCAGTCTGGATCCAGCAGAGGTGTTGTGCCTTACTCGTTCCAGTTTTAATCATGTGGTATTTCCAAGTCCTCAATGCCTAATAATTAGGTCAGCAAAATACTGGCCCAAACCAGCAGGGACCTAAAGAATCCTTGATGAAGTCCCTAATAACTAGATAAGCATATTTGATAAATGCAGGATGCTAAGAGGTGACAGTGTAACTTTTATATCTCAAAAAAGTAGAACCATCTGGAAAAGAATACTATTTTAACTTGCACAGCCTGTACCTTTCCATAGGAATCTCTAAATATTGTACCATATGGGAGAACCTTTATGGAATTTTACACAGGTCACTGTTAAATTCACTACTGCTTGTATTTAAAAAAAAAAATGTTGACTAAGAGCCAGAGCAAACATGCTGACTAAATCTGACATCACGCTGGTAGGGACAGTTAGCAATCTGGAAAACGAGACTCATATTTGAGACGTACCACAATACAAATCAGAATAAGTGCATAATGGATTCTACATAGAGGACACCTTCTACCCACTTCACTTTTGTTTCTCCAATCTCTACCAGTGCAAGTAGAAGGAAGAAAGCAATGTGTCAAAAGAAAGACTAGTGACAGCCATTACCTGGTGATGCCTAACTCCCTGGCCAGTTTAGATTTTTTAAATAAAGTTTTATTCTTTACTCTCCTATTTTTTTCAAACTGGATTTCCTGTTGTTTTCTATACCTGTTATTTCCTAACTATTCAACAAACTTCAACTCCCAAGGGTGATTTAATCCCAAATGGAAAAACCACAAACCCACAAACCATTTTTGGTGGAGGTAAAGATACAAAAGGATTTGTGACTAAGAGGGAGAAAGCAACAAGCATGAATGTCACAGGGTAAAAATCAGAGTGGCAGACAATTAAGACAGGGTTAAAATGGTGTGAGGCATAGGTCTTCAGGCATATGAAAGATTAAAAACAAATGATTATATTTACTCTAAGAGATAAGATTATTTTGTATCTTCCTGGGCATATCGTACAAATTGTGAACACTCTACAAAGTAACAATGATCTTTCTTTGATCCTATCTCAAAGGTAGACAATTAAGTTAGAAGTAAAGAAAAGTAAAGATAGTTGTTCATAAAGTACACTTACCTGGAATTTGAAGCTCATCCTCAATAAATCGAACGTAATTTTGTGCGTTAATAGGTAGTTCTTTAAATGTCCTTGCATTTGATATATCTGTGTTCCAACCTGGGAGCGTCTTATATTGAACTTCAACTTTATTTAAGACTTCTTGGTTTGCTGAAAGTTAAAGAGTAAGTCTGTTTTCTCTTGGTAGAACACTGCCTATTGTCAAACAACTTTTTGCTATGTTATAGGTTCATAATCTTGACAAAATCCTTGGAGTCAGGGCAGCCTGGGTGGCTCAGCGGTTTAGTGCCGCCTTCAGCCCAGGGCCTGATCCTAGCGACCCAGGATTGAGTCCCACGTCAGGCTCCCTGCATGGAACCTGCTTCTCCCTCTGCCTGTGTCTCTGCCTCTCTCTCTACCTCTCTGTGTCTCTCATGAATAAATAAATAAAACCTTTAAAAAAAAAATCCTTGGAATCAGATATGTTATGGAATGCAGAGTTTCCCAGAGTGTAGGAAGGTCAGACAGTACATTTACCACCTGAGGCAATATTTTCATAATCAAACACATTCCTGCAGCAACAGGATTATTCACTGTAAGCAGACAGATTATTGGTTCTAATATCAACCCAAGTCAGGTTTTGCTGTCAAAGGACTCTGGTGCTAAACTTTAAACTTTCCATTTTTAGAGCTTTTTAGATTTCTGTGCTGTGGATTAGAGATTGTGGCCCTGCATAAAGGCAGCAATCTCACAGAAAGGAGACTTATTATACTTGCTCTCATCTGGAAAATCTACTGATTTTGTAACTGTACAAAAGCTTAGCTGGAAATTGTCATTATCTCACTTAACCATTTTCACTGTATTCCCTAATAGAAATGAAGAATGTACAGAAATAACAGTTTCTTTGACTAGAGACCATATAGTGGATACTGTAGGTATACTGTCCAGACTTCCCAGTTCAGGATTTAGACACTCATTCCCCTCAGCTCTGGAAGCACTGCGTACTGTACTGAGGATGCTTCTTCAGAATTTCCTCAGAAACTGCCCTCGCCTGAAGGGAGCTGCCTCCCTGGAGCAGCCCATATCCCATGACTGGCCAGTGTTGACAACAGGCAGGCAGCACAGAACTGCATTTTCTGAGAAAAAGAAAACTTATAAACAAGTCCTGAAACTACTCAACTCTCTGCCCAGGGGCAATTTCCCAGCCACTGGAAGTCAGGACACTAGTCACCAGAGAACAGTGGTCCCACTGAGCTGAGAAGGTAGGTAACTGGTTTCAGTGCAGTGGAAGCAGCTAGATTCATCATGGTCAAGTTTTAGAGAGGACAGAGCTATCCAGAGAGCTCCTACTCCTTACAAGTCCATGTAGACATCCCACGGCTAGCATTCAACTTTACATAGGAGGGACCCGCGGGACCACTGGAGGCTTTCCAGGTAGATGCTGTCACATAGTTGAGTGGGAGAGATTCTAGATTTCAAGTTGTGCTAACAAGGAGGAAAGGGACAGGGTAGGGTACACTGGAGCTCCAGCACTGCCAGATTGGAGAGAGCTCTTTATACCTTGATAACTCTCCTGGCATCCAGCTGAGATAGCAGGAAGGCTGTTCCTTAAAATGAAAAACCATGCTCAAGAGTAAAACTGACTATAGACCCTCCATAACAAAACCTAAAATTCAGCTCTATCCAATCCACAGAGGAGACAGAATTTGGAGGCTGACCCATACTAGTTTGGAGGTTTGGGAAACACCCTGGGCTTTTCACATAACTATACTAACACAGCAGAAAACCAAGCTCATACAAATTCAAGATGATTACCCAGTAATTTAACTGTCCCCTAAAACAAGAACCAATACTCTTCAGAGGAAGATAACAGAATAGGAGTCACTACAACAGAAGTGCATTTAATCAGAAGTCATTCGTCACAGAAACAGTGATCCACAATCAAGGAAAAAACGGTCAAGAGAAACAAAACTGGAAATGGCCCAGATGCGGACTAACAGATAATGACTAAATATGTTTCTAAGAACTTGAGGTGATCCTTAGTTCCCAAGGACTGGTTGTCACTAGCAAGTCATAAGACCTAGCAGCCTACCAAGTTTCATTAAACTAGTCAATATTCCTTTGTTTGGCATATTCCCAGCCTTACAGGATGACTAAATAAATGACCGGTTCCTATTTCTGAAAGCTGGAAACATTTAAGGAACTTCCTGAATACTGAAGAAATCCTGTAACTAACGATATGCCTGAAGAAACAGTGCATAATGTAGGAAGTCTTCCTACAACCAACTACTTTTGACATAGGAGTATCAGAAAAAATCATTTGTGTGGCTTGAAGGAGAGCGTGGCTTAATATATTAAGAGCCTGCTAAACTCGTGTAAGCAGTACTTTTCCCTTCTATCCCACACTGCTCAAGGAAGAGAGGAATGCCTACACAGAAGTTACTTTCAAAACAGGGAAGAAGAAATTCAGGAGCAGCACAGCGGGCTGGGCTCAGAGGTACTACGTTTCTTTTTTCCTATTTTGAGTCTGAACCCATGCTTATTACTGCAAACCAGAACCCAAATGCATAGCAGCTATGGAACAAATGCTGATGAGATGTGAATATATTCCCACCATTCACAAAGAGCATATCAACCCTGTGGCTATAGATCATAAACTATACACCAAAGAGCTTTATGAAATTGTTCTAACACATTCACCTAATAATATTCTTTATATCACAGACTGAAAAAAGTACCTGGGAAATGAGGTATGATTTCACCATCTAACTTGTAAGCAACCCCAACTTTGATTTCCGTAAACATGTCCAAAATATCCAATTTGGTAAGTGCCAACCTAAGTGGAAGAAAAGGCAGTGTTCAAACAGCAGACTCTTAAAGGCAGTAACATCTAATCTGCTAAGGAAGTAAAGAAAAATTCATACAAAGCTAAACATTCCAAAGCAATTTGAAAACTGGTTAGGATTACATTCTAAAGTGTGCCACACATAAAGCGTGCATTTTCCTCATAATAAAAAAAAGATTTAACTGATCTACTTGTGCGTTACTTCTCTAATAACTGTATTTTCCCTGATCCATGCCATCTTGTTTAACTTTCTTTTATTTATATATACCTTTTAACTTAAAAAAATTTTTTTTTGAGAGAAAGAGAAAGCGTGCACTTGCGCACACAAGTGAGTGGGAGGCAGAGGGAAGGAGGGACTCTCAAGCAGGCTCCACACAGGGCATGGAGCCCAGTCTGTGACTCAATCTCACAACCTGAGACCATGACCTGAGCTGAAACCAAGAGTCAGACATTTAACTGACTGAGCCACCCAGGCGCCCCGCTTAGCTTTCTTATGATGGATCCACACATATCTGAGGGACAGTTGCCTAGAGGAATGGATGCACTCTGTGGGACACAGCTGTACTCATTGTTCTTCATGGAGGACTACAAGATCCATATATATTTACACACAGGCCACTGACCCTCATTCCTTCCCTCCGGTTACTATCACCTCCACCCTTCTGCTCAGAAATTGTCACAGCAAAGCAAGGACACCACATTCAGGACCTTTTCAAGACATGTCAAATCTCCCAATAAACTAGGAAACAGTTTTAAAGGGAAAATCTATGCTTAAATAAAACAGTAGGTTTGAAATTCTTATCCACAATTACTTTTTAATCTTTTATTCTGTTATTTGCTGGAAGTTAAACCAAATTAATACAAACAGGAGTACACTTATTTACATATTTACATACATGTGTTAATAGCAACTTTTTACTGAGCATTTTCAGTGAGCCAGGCAGCGTGCTATATGCTCTCACTGTATTTCTCACCTAATTTTCAGAACACCCGCATGAAGTAGATAACATTATCTAGATTTTAATGATGAAAAAACACAGAAAGATTAACTTGTCCAAAGTGATGCCACAAAACATGAATCTGAGATTTCAAAATAGAAGTTACATTCATCAAGCCCATGCACTAAATCAGTTATATTGCTTCCCTTCCATATAAACAAAATGCACCATCCATCTACCTACCTAATCTGACTTCCCTCTATACTTACATGCATGTGGGAGTATCATGATTCCCTTTTCCCAACTGTGGATATCTAGGAAGACAACCTGGGGGTCCTCTCCCTTGGGTCCACTTGAACCTTGGGCTACAGTATCATCTGGAGGCTAAACTGAAATTTTTCTACCAGGGTACTACTTTTCAAGCTTGCACTCCACAAAATTTAACCTGTGGTCATGAATGATACCTTATTTTCCTGAAATAAATGTTTCTAAGAATACTCACGCAGTAAATCCATTAATCATATGAGCATATTTGAGCAAAACAAGGTCCAACCAGCCACATCTTCTTTTCCTTCCAGTGGTTACCCCAAACTCTCGACCTCTTGTTTGTAATAATTCTCCAATTTCCTAGAAGTAGAAAATAGGACTTTGGATTATAATACCAATGCTATAAATCCAGTAGAATTACAAATTACATGTAAGGTCATATAACAAGTCAGAGTCTCAGAGATGAACATCTTCCAAAAAGTAAGTGGAAGACAGAATTCTATACAGATGATGGATATTATGTGAGGTAGGCATTATTTGAAAGAGATCCACTTTGGCTTCATTTTTTACCATTTCTTTAAAACCAGTATTTTTTTATGATGTTAGCTAACTTCTTAAATTTTAACATATAAAATGCTATATATTAAAAACAAAGTTGTTAGTAAATATTTATTAAAATAGGTAAGTCAAAGCAATTATTCCAAGAACTACTATAGTTTGATGATCTCCTGAAAACCATAGGACAAACTCTCAGCTACTCAGGAGTTGTAGAAAGCACAATACCCTTAGAAAGAGAAATAAGGTTGAAAAAAATGCTGAAAGATCTAAGCCACAGCCATTCCCCAGAACCTAATTTTTCACTTATTATCTATTTCCTAATTTATACCTTTCTGATTAAAGTCTTCATTTCACTACCTCTTCTATTCTGACATCAATACAACTATGTGTTTTTTAAAATGTTGCTCTGTCAGGTTTGAATCCCAGCCCAGTCCCTGTGTGTGACTTTGCTCAAGTGATTTCAGCTCTCCCTGCCAGTTTTCTCAAGTGTAGAAGCGGGATAGTGACCACTACCCAGCTCCCTGGGCTGTCGTGAGGTCCAAAGAGCTTCCGAGTATACAACACTCTGACAGTGCCTGCCCCGATGTCACCACCATGAAAGTGCTGGTTAGGATCACACCAAGTCTGGAGGTCACTCTCTTCGGCCTTAGCTCCTAATATGCTCTTAGTGAGAGGCAGTTCTTATTTTTAACTACTTCTTTCTCCTCCATTATCTCAATCTCCCTTATAAACCCACTTTCATGTAGCTTGGTGCTTACAATTACCTTTAAGTACTCTCTAACCCTTCATCTTTTTTTGCCCATCTGTTCCCACATAAGTGAAATGCACAGGAAGATAAGAATTCATTAAGGGGGAAAAAAGCAGAAGTTTCAATTTTTAAAAAATGATTTATTTGAGAGAGAGAGAAGAACGAGTGTGAGTGGGTGACAGAGGGAGAGATTATCTGAAGTAGACTCCATGCTGAGTGCAGAGCCCAATACAGGGCTCGATCCCAGGATCTTGACTGAGATCATGACCTGAGCCAAAACCAAGAGTCAGACACTCAACCAAAAGAGCAACCCAGGCACCCCAGAAGATTTTATTTTAAAATCTTCAGAATTGGATCTACTGAAAAATAGGCTTACATTGTCTTGCTCTGTAGGGAAGGCACCAATACCAACTCGAGTTGTGTAAGCTTTCACGACCCCATACACTTCTCCAACGTTTTGCGGGGGCATTCCCAACCCAGTACAGACACCTCCAACTGTACAGTTGGAAGAGGTCACAAAAGGGTAAGTTCCTTAAAAAAAGAAACAAATATTATTCACACATAGAGATATACATTACTCTGAAACAGAATTATTGTGAAAAATCCCCATTTGAGTACATTCTAGGTACTGGACAGACTTGAATATAACTGCCCTCCTTAAACCTCAACCTTTAGCCTTGATCCTTTTTGCCTGTAGTGAGATAAAAAACACAGGTAATTAGAGCTATCAATGTAGTTGCTCATTCTGGAGAGGTTCCTTTGTTATATGGTACGTACTCACCTAATGGATTGCTAAATAATTTCATGATAAAACCCTTGTGTTATTCCACTACATAGACTTATAACCTAGGTATTTTTAACACATTCCTGTTAGTTTAAAAATGAATTTATTTTATTCCCTTGATACAGATTTTCAAGATACAGCCACAACCTAGAATAATACCAATATACTAAGAATTTTGTGGTATTCAATATCCTACCTTCTCAACTCTATTCAGGGAATAATCCCAAAAATGACAAGAGAAGCTAAGGGGAGTATACTCCCTCATCCCCACCTCACCCTCAAATCCTGTTCCTATTTAAACTACCCACTAAGCCAATTAGACACTGTTTTCTTTCCAGATTGCACAGGCATATTATGGAGTAAAAAATACATATCTACTGCAAAAGAAATATACTTTAGTTGGTTTTCTTGCAGTCAAAAGCCAATGAAATGTCAGTAAGAGCTGAGAACACTCAGACTTACCGTTTGATATCACATTCAGAGAGAAAGGCCAACAATCTAATGAGGTGGTAGTTGGAAGACACTAAAAGGTTAACTTTTTTTTTTTTTAATTTTATTTATTTATGATAGTCGTACAGAGAGAGAGAGAGACGCAGAGACACAGAGACACAGGCAGAGGGAGAAGCAGGCTCCATGCACCGGGAGCCTGACGTGGGATTCGATCCCGGGTCTCCAGGATCGCGCCCTGGGCCAAAGGCAGGTGCCAAACCGCTGCGCCACCCAGGGATCCCCCAAGGGTTAACTTTTTGAAGATGGAAGAAATGCCCTAATCCATTCAGGATCTCAAGCCCAGGGAGTTAAACAAATTTCCACAGATCTTAAGAGGCATGTTTAATGACAAAGCTTATTAGTTCTCAATATTTAAAAAAAAAAAAAAAGAAAGAAAAACCAGTTTACAGAATCCCAAACCCACTGACCCAAGCAGTGATTTCATTTTTCTAATGAACTACAAAACTTAACACATGGATTGTGTATTCTATAATATTTTGCTGTAAAAAAAAAAAAAAAGATTAGTAGATGACAAACTTCCATCATTCCTTTTTTTTTTTAAGATTTTTTTTTCTTTATTTGACAGCCAGCCAGAGAGTAGAAGCAGGAGGAATGGCAGAGGGAGAGAGAGAAGCAGGCCCCTTCACTGAGCTCTATCCAGGACTCTGGGATTGTGACCTGAGCTGAAGGCAGAGGCCCAACTGACTGTGCCACCCAGGTGCCCCAAACTTCCATCATTCCTGAATATACAAGCTAAAAGCCTTGTTTTAAAACCCTATAAGGCAAACAGGAATTATGTATATCCTTAGTACTTTAGGGCTCAGATGAGCTTCTGCAAGTCGTATTTCACTTACCAAAATCAATATCTAGTAGCGCTGCATTTGCACCTTCTACCAAGATTTTCTTTGGTGGTCCATGTAGAGCCTCATAGAGGAAATAAACTCCATCTCTCACCATAGGTTTAATCCTTTCCATATAACCCTACAAAGATGAAAACCAATTTCAATATATACCAATAAATTTACAACATGATCAGTACAAGTAACACTCACCTGACTCTGTGATAAGAAACACTTAACTCATTCAAAGCAGAAGGGTGTTAGTGATGGTACTCATCCTACTGAACATTTGGATTAGCTTTGGTCTCTTGTCCTGATTCTCCAGAACCAGAAGAGACCCTAGCTCAAGACCAGTAGAGAAACGATGCAATTCAAAGGTTCTACATTAACCTCACTGCAAGTAATGATGTCAACCTTCCATTCTTTATAAACCAGCTCTCAGGAAAATAAGAAGAATGGAGTATATTATGTCACGCTTTTATACTTGGTGAGGTATTTAAAAAGTCCCATTTATAATCCATGTAACCATGAGTTTTGAAACACGCCATCAGGGAAACTGTCAAAATGTGGATGCAGGTCACAAGTGACGTGACATTGTTGAGCATGCAAATATTGATAACTGTTAATTTTCTTTTGTCATTGTATTCCATTACAGCAATATCTCAGCAGTATTAGTAGATAATGTCAAATACTATTTTACACATGAGCATTATAAAATTTTTACAAAACATATTAAAAGTATTAATAATACTGTTAAATTTTAGAATTCAATTAAAAATGTAATGTAAACAAGAGTTCCCTCAAGGCCTGAAGTATAACTACAATAAAACCTAGTTTTAACTATGTTTCCATATTTAGCCAGACTAGTATGGAAATTCCAGGATCCACTCATGAACTCACCAAATATGTTATACCCCTGATGAAAGTCTGGTCCCTGCCCCTGGTTCCAGTCTCCTGCTTATTCCTATTTTAGTCCTTTTTTTTATGCCTGAATGACCATGCCATTCATCATGTCCCTTGCTCCTTAAAGTGCTGTTTCGACATACACCACCTATTGAGAATCTTCTTACCCAATTCTGTTTATGATTATTCATCTACTTTACATTCATACGAAACATGGATAAAATAGAACCAAAAAGCTATACCACACTTCAGCGCATTATTATTTCCAAGTTGCCAATAATAAATTTAAAATATTTGTTGCATGAAAGAATGAAAAGACAATGGCAGTCTATTGTAAGCAATGACCAATACACTGAAGTTTAAATACCTAACATTCAGTATCTTCCTTGGAAGTCTTTTTTGTTTTTTTTAAAGCAATTTAGTGAGTAGATTGGCCCAAGGTCTACAACCATTCTAGGATGGCATATGAGGTTTGTAAATTTCTATTCAGCTCTGGAATTGATGTTCATACCTATTTATAGAAGACAAGGAGTAATAATCAGATACATAGGACCCAGCTTGAAAAGCACTAAACATCAGGGTCGAATATAAGGGTGGATAGGGTAAGAGATTTGCTTACTGAAAGTCAAGCACTACTGACACCTAAAACCTGCCAAATGTGGGCCGAACCTTTGGCTAATCACCTTCTTCGTCTCTTAAGACAAAGTGCTAAAGACACTGGCCCTGTGGGGCATCATTCCAGAATGGGTCAGCCAGCTTTACAAGTTATCTCCTGCTGCCCCTCTGTTGATCTATGTTCCACATTGCTAGGAGGGATTTTTATATAATACAAATCTAGTCATTTTTCTGCTAGAAATTACTCAATAGGGGAACCCTGGGTGGCTCAGCAGTTTAGTGCCTGCCTTTGGCCCAGGGCATGATCCTAGAGTCCCGGGATCAAGTCCCGCGTCGGGCTCCTGGCTTGGAGCCTGCTTCTTCTCCCTCCTCCTGTGTCTCTGCCTGCCTCTCTCTCTACATCTATCATGAATAAATAATTAAAAATAAATAAATCTTAAAAAAAAAATTACTCAATAGTTTTTCATGAACTCTAAGATAAATGCTAAAAACTCCCTCTCACTCCATATAAGACCAATGCAAGACCTATGAACTCCTACTCCCTGCTGCTCCCCACTCAATATTTTATTTCAGTCACATCATGTGTAGTGACTCAAACATGCCATGTCCTTTTAGGTAGCCCTCTATGCTTTTAAACTTAAATAGGACAAGTCATTTGCTTTACCAGTTCTTATTTCCAATGCTTTATATATATCTGTGTGGCATTTATTACACTATGAATTATTTAATGTGTAACTTCTCAGTAACAGTGTAATTTCCATAAAGGAAATTAAACACTCTATGTTCTTCATTCTTATGTTTGTAGTTCCTAGCACAAAGCCAACTATGAATGAAAGATCTTAGATGCCAATCTGGCAAACAAGTTTTAAAAAGGACATTACAAAGGCCAGAAAGCATTACCTTGAGTTTCTTTTTGTTTTTGTTTTTTTTACCTTGAGTTTTTGTAGTTCGCCTTCAATGTCAATTTCCAAAGTGGGGTATATAGATTTGTATTGGTTAGCCAGAACTTTAAACCTGAGAAATATAGATAAATCAAGACATTAGCTTGGTTTAGAAACAGTCCGTATAGTATCATTCAATTCAAATGGTTTCTGCAGATAAGTGGTATTAATAACAAATGAATCCCAAACGGAAGCTACATTCTAAGAAATAAAATCTAAACAGGAGATCAGTCATGAATAAACGATACACTCAGAAACAGTAATTTTTATTCAAATTTAGGAATAACAACAATATAATGAGGGTAATGTGTGTGGAGGGGAGACGAGGAAAAGGACTAAAATCTGAAACCACAAGACTTAAATGTGAATTCTATCACATCATGTAAAAAATAAAAAGGGACAGTCTATATGATGCTTTTTAAAAGAGACAGAGGCAGGACCTTTGATGCCACCTGTTATTAGATGCAACCAACTAACTCCCAGTCACTGAGTCATCATATGGCTTTGAAGATGATTAGGTTTCTCATGCAGATTTTTCTAGAGAGTAAGTGTCAATGAGGCAATTGCTATTGTTTAGTTCACCAGTACCTACGAGCCTAATGATGTCTAGGTAGGGGGGAGGGGGCCTCAGAACTGAAGCTCTGAGGGTCCAGGCTCTAGGATGTGGTAACCCCACCGAAGCACCCCCTGGAGTCTCTGTTTCTCAGCAAACCATTAAAAACTCCAATCCTTAAATATAATTTTGGCTTTGCCTTCTTTAGGTACTGCTGTGGTATCATCATGAGGTTACTTTTCATTTAGTTAATTTGAAATTAATTAATTAAAAATAATTCTAAAGTCCAAATAAAGCAAAAAAGCCAATCACCATTGTTCAACTAGAACACTGATTTTTACCACTTTGCATCCTGGAGTACAGAAATTCCAAAAATCCCATTTGCTCTTTCCACTCTGAAACACAAGTTAGTTACCTCTCAGAGAAGCCATCAAAGTCAGAAACCAGATCACACATCCGCAGTCCACTCCGAGCAGCTTTGGAAGAATAAACTGGGCCAATGCCCTTTTTTGTGGTACCCAGACTTAAAAATAAATCAAAACAAGCTTTGAGTTAGACAAGAAAGATGCTGTGCTGTGGTCAGATCATCACAATGAATAAAAGCTACTTTAACTATTTTCTGGGGTTTTGTTTTGTTTTGTTTTTTGCTATTTTCTCTAAGTTTATTTTCACAATCCTACTGATTTTCTCTGAAATCTAAACAAGAGATTCTAATGATTTTTCTTAAACCTCTGCCGTAGAATTTAAACATGAGGATTTGAATTTGTTTAAACTGCACCGAAAACAAAAACAAAAAACCCTACTTTTTTCCTGCTTGTTCTTGTCTCTGTTGCTCCTGGATACCATCAGCTGCTTGATGAAAATCGAATACTGAGGGGAAAAAAACCAAATCACAGTTGTTGTTGAAACAAAGGTAATATAGGAGCAAAACATACTGCATTTTAAATTAATTAAGTTATAAATCCTTTCATCCTAATTTCATCATGACTAATCAAATGGACACATTTTATTTTTAAAAAGATTTATTTATGAGAGAGAGAGAAAGAGAGAAAACAAGCAGGAGGGTGTGTGTGGAGCCTGACCCGGGGCTTGATATCACGACCTGAGCCAAAACAAAAAATTGCAGGCTCAACTGACTGCGCCATCCAGGTGCTCCAAATGTATGTATTTTAAAAAGCAAAAACAATGGTAGGAGTGAAGGTTTATAATGCCAACGGGTATGCCTGATTGTTCATTTCAGCCAACTGTAACCTGTATTATTTTAAAAAATGTTAAGAGGATAATCTTGGAACAGCCTACCCCACAATTCTATCAAGCTCAGTTTACTAGGATACCCTCTTTCCTTCAGGTTCTACCCCTCCAGACATCTCTGGTTTATTCTGATCTCTCTCTCTCTCTCTCTCTCTCTCTCTCTCTCTCTCAACCGTCTCTCACCAAAACTGTACCCAACTAATGAGTGTGCATGTTTTCCCTATTGGGCACTTCTAATTCATAATTTTTAATGCAGCAAAGCCATCTTTCCAAGACACAAATATGACATCACTATCCTCTTGCCTATAAAACTCAATGGCTTCCTGTTGCTCAAAAGAAACAACTCTTCCATGTGGCCTCCTTGCGTAGCATGCTCTTTCATCTGGCGCTGTGCTCTGGCCCTATTTCTGCCCTTGGGTCACACAGGCATTCTTTCACATCCTTAGCCCCAAAGCACAGGCTTCCGTCTGAATGTGCCTCTTCCTCGCCCGCACGCACAAGCACACTCACACACTCACTTCTCCCACCACTACTGTGTGAGTCTTGGGACCATGTCAGTTAGCTTACCAGCTGATTTCCTGTGCCTACAAGTTCTCAAATATTTACTGACTGAATAAATAGCTATTTTATGGAACAGGGAGGCCTATAATTTTGTCTTCAAACTTTTAACCAAGGCTTCTTTGGTCTCAAAAAAGCCCTTTGGGAATATAATTTAAGTACCATAAAATTCACCCACTTGAAGTGTACAATTTAATCATTTTATGTACATTAAACCATGGCTTCTTTTCACTAACGATTGTTACTGCTCCAAACAAATAAGTTGAAATGTCTAAATTTTAAACAGAATGACTGGTAACTTTCTTAGAACTGGTGGTGGCATGTATCAAAGAACTACTTGGCAGTGTCAGAAGACTCAAATTGTAGTCATAGATGTTGAAACTAGAAAAACTTGAGGAAATCAGACCGTAAGCCACCTCTGATTAACCCTAGCCTCTAAAACCTTCTCTGCCCTAACTCCCCTCTTGAGACACTGCAAAATTGTCAAGGCAGTCCTCCCTTCTGCTTGGCAAGGTTGATAAGCACAGCCGTGATGGTTAACAGGTTTCCCTAGTGGTCTAGTAGAGGAGTTCGGACATTTCTTACATTAGGTAACTACAATACAGAAACTAAATTTGTTGATTAGTTTTGTTGACAAAACTAATTTTGTTTAAAATTATCCCTTAAATCATTATCCATCTCTGTGCCACAGAACTGGGTAGCAATGACATCCCTAAACTACACTGGCATATTGTACACCAAAAGATATTTACAGGAACACTCAGAGCAATAGTATTTGTAATAACTTGGAAAGGACTCAAAGTTTCACCAATGGTAAAAAAATGTGCCATATTCATACAGTGGCATATACTATTCAGCAATGAAAAATAAGAGTTTCATTTACAGTAAGGATGAATCTCATTGGCATACTGTTGAGTGAAAGTCAGACAAATTATATAAATGTGTAATCTGTATAAAATTCAGACATAGACGAAACCAATCTATGATGAGAGAACAGTGGTTACCCTTGGTGAGGGGGAGTAGATAGTGACTAGGAAAGGTCTTTATTTTTTTATTGAGATATACTGACATATAACATTAGTTTCAGGTGTAGAACTTAATGACTAAATATTTCTATATACCACAGAATGACAGTGAGTTAGCATGCATCACCATAAATAGCCACAAATTGTTCTTGTGATGGGAACTTTTGTTTTTTAAGTAGGGCTCCATGCCCAACATGAGGCTCTAACTCACAACCCTGAGATCAAGAGTCAGATGCTCTCCCACCTGACACCCAGGTGCCCTATGGTGAGAAATTCTAAGGTCTATTATCTTAGCAACTTTCAAATATGGCATACAGTATAATTAACTACAGTCACCAAGCTGTCCATGACATCTCCATTACCACCCCCATCCATTCTGCACACCCCCCAGCTGCCTGCCTCTGTTCTATCTTTGTTCTATCTTTGAATTTGTGGGGATTTTAGTTTTACTCTTTCAGGACTGCTTTGATTGTTCCAGTTCTTTGTAGTTCCTACAAGTTTTAGGATTGCTTGTTCTATTTCTGTGAAAAATACCACTGTAATCTTGATAGGGATTGCACTGAATCTGCAGACTGCTTTGGGTAGTACAGACATTTTAACAATACTAATTCTTCTGATCCATGAGCATAGAATGTCTTTCCATTTATTTGTGTCTGCTTTAACTTCTTCCACCAGTGTCTTATAATGATCAGTGTATAGGTCTTTTACATGCTTGGCTAGCAGAGTAGCTTTTTCAGGCACTAGAAAGGTTCTGTATAACAAGGTAAGCAGTGGCTAAAGGGGTAAAATATGGCTCATTTTTATGCATATTGCTGTATCATGTACTATGTTAAAATTTCTAATAGCTACCATATACTATAAGATTAAGTTTATTGTCATACCCCAATTTAGTGTTTGTCATCTACTTTTGAGAAGACAGAATAGTTCTTAAGAAACTGTTTCATTAAACTCAGACTCTGCAGATCAGTGATGACAAAAATTGAGATGTTGGAGGAGGTCATTTCTTTTGAATAAAGAAACAATTTGCATTTAAATATTTGCTTTATCTTCTACATTCAAAGAAGTTACAAAGGCACCTGGCAAATCACAAGTAAATGGTTGATGGAAAGCAGGTACATCCTATTTTTCAGAAGTTAATTTAGTACCTTGCCACAGAGCTAACATTTTCTTGGGTTTTTCTAGGCCCCAGGGAGCTATCAGTGATATCAGAAGAATTACTTTCATAAAGCTTCATCGTGGCACGGAGCCCTGATACCTCCCCCTCCACTAATACTGTTTTTGAGAGGACAATCTTTGTGTGAAGTTGCTTTATCTTTTCCATTTTCTACAGCCTAGATACTGAAAACAAAACAAAACAAAATGCTGCCTTGGGGACTCCGTCTAATTTTTAAAATAAGAGATAAGTTCTATTAATGCCATCTTCTTTTTTAAATTATTATCATAGTTAGGTTTTATTTACACTATTAATGTTGCACCGTATTAATGTGTCCAGTCAGACCCTCGGTATCTGTAATTTCCACTTTGCCTGCTTCTCATACCTCCTCTCAGGTCTTCTTTCCCCCAAAGAGTTTTGTTTTTGTTTTTTAAATTGTGGCTACTTAAGACCGAGATCTGACCTCTTAACAGATTTTTAAGTCACAATACAGCACTGTTATCTCCAGCCTGGGTGCTGAACAGCATGCCTCTAGAACTTATTCATCTGTCATCTCCTTCAGGAGGTGACATGAATGTCATCTTTGCAGTGCAACTTCCCCAGCCACATTATCTAAAATTATAGATGCCTACCCAGCTCCTCCAAACTGCCAGACATTACACGTGGCTCCTTTCATTAGAACTTATCACTACAGGCCATGGTACATGTATTATATTTTTTTCTTGCTTATTATCTGTCTTACCCTACTACAGTAGAAGCTCCATTAGGAATTTTTATGGCCTTTTCTGAGTCCTCAGTGTTCACCACCATGCCTGGCACAGAGTGGTCTTTTAACAGGTAGTTCTTGAGTCAACGGATACCCAATAACCTGGATTTCCAATGTTTAAAAAAATTTAGTCTCAGCCATTTCTTGGGTCTCTTTCCCTCAATAAGAATCTCTTCCATTCTAAATTTTGTTATGGGTTTCAATGAGACAGGGCACAATTCTAATAGATAGTTTCTTGCATACTTGCTTCAGTATTGCTAATTAATGTAAAGAATTAGCCAACAATGGACTCATTTTTAAACTTCTTTATAAGAAAACTGGCTGTTCAAAAATATTAAGAATGTATCGTAGAGTTTTTAACAATGCAGACATGAAATGTATGACAGTAACACAAGGGACTGGACGAGTGAAATGGAAACATTTCCTTGTAAGTATCTTGGGTTAAGTGTTTAATATAACATTTTAAGGTACATAATGATGACTTAAAGATGCATATTATGTATGTCTCAGAGCAACTACCAAAATTCACAAAACACAAGGTATAACTAATAAACTAATAGTACAGATAATATTTAAAACATTAAATATCAAAGCAATCAGGAAAAAAGAAAAACAATGGAAGGAACAAATAGAAAACAAAAAGCAAATTTAAATTCAACAATACTGATAATTAACTATATATATATGATCTAAAATAAAAGAATTAAAAATAAATGATCTAAACACTCCCATTAAAAGTGACACTGTCACAATGAATAAAAGGCAAGACCCAACTGCATTTTACCTATAATAAATGCCCTGTGAGTATAAAGATATAGACAGGATAAAGGTTATTAGATTGAAAAAAATACAACACACAAATACCAGTCTGAAGAAAGCTCTGCTGGCTATATAACATCAAGGCAGGCTTCAGAATAAGGAATATTACCATAGGAAAAGAGGATATTTCATCATGATGAAAGAGTTAACTCATCAAAAACTTAAGTCTAAATATACATGCAATCTACCTGAGCTTTAAAGCAGACAAAGACTGACATGAGTCGAAAAGAAAAATAGACAAATCCACAATTATTGTTGGAGATTTCAACACACCTCTTTCTAGATGGCTGACAGCAAGCAGATAAAACCAGCGAGGACACAGAAGGTCTGAACACTGTTCAACGGACACTTAAAGAATACTCAACAACTCTACTCAACAGAACACGTATTCTAAGTGCAGGCAGAACATGAACCAAAACAGACCCTGTCCTGGGCCATAAAACAAATCTCAACAAATTTGAAAAGACAGAGACTACACATAGAGCATATTCTCTGTCTACAACAAAATTAGAAATAAGAGAAATCAGAAAAATCATCCAGTATTTAGAAATTTAAACGTATTTCTCAAAACTCATAGGACAAACAGAAATCACAAAAAAAAAATTACAAAGTCTTTTTAACAGAATGGAAATAAACATACAAAATGTCAGTATTTGTAGAATGTAGCTAAAGTAGTATTAAAGGCACGTGTCCACCTTTAAATGCTTATATAAAGAAAGGTCTAAAGTCAATAATCTAATAAACTTCTAAAGCAGCTGGAAAAGGGGGGAAAGCCCCCAAAGTATGTCTATCCAGCAGTTTGCTTCAAAGAAATTATTTCATTGGATTACTGAGGCTACACAGAGGCTTCGAGCCTCTATTATTTGGAGGCACTGTTACTTAGCTGATATTTAAAAGGGACTTTGATGGGCTGTTTTGTTTTGTTGTTTTTAACGTAGACTCCATGCCTAGTGTGGAGCCCAATGCAGGGCTTGAACTTACGACCCTGAGAATAAGACCTGAGATGGGATCAAGAGTCTGACACTAAAGGACTCAGCCCAGCCACCCAGGTGCCCTGCTGGGGCTGCTCTTAAATGGAGGTCAGTGCTACAACCACAGTAGCCACTGCCTCAGGGGTCATCTGTACTTAAATGCAACTGAAGAGTTTGCACCAGTCTATTCTTTCTGGTTACGGTCTTGTAATCATATTATCGATAATTAACAATTCTATCAGAGACAGGATAACAGCAGGGAAACAAACTTCATATTTATTAGTGGTGGTTGAAATTAATTTTAGAATCCAGTTTGCTCTAACTAATCATAGAGGAGAAGACTACTCTGAATAAAGCCTGAACCACTGATAAAGCTGCATTATTACACTTAAGACACAGAGTCATTCTACAGATTTGCCAGATAGCAAACCTGCTTTTACATGATTATTAATGTGCAAATAAATGTGCTTCGTATTTTGATACAGTTAATTTAATAATAGAATTAGAGATGTCTCCTGAGATACTGCTTTTATGGTTCAATTGGTTAGCTAATTCTTTCTTCGGAAATAGGTAAAATTTATCCTAGTCCTTTACCAGAAGAGAAAAAAGAAAAAAATTACTAAGATTTCATGTATTTGGAGCCCAACTATCATAATCCATCCTACTTAGTTTCCACTAGAATTAAAGAAAAATTGGCTACTAAATGCTTCCATGTGACAAGTTTCTGACAATAAGACAGTTAAATGCATTAGATGCCCCTTACCAATATGAGCTCTGTCAGATATGATAAGCCTTTTTTCCCAGCCTTCCAGACCTAGAGGAAAGGAGAAAAAAGATACAGCTAATTGAACACTTTGTATAATTTTTAAATCTTAATTTCTTTAGAAATACAATGTTTAAAAGTGCTTTTCACGGAAGCAAACACTTAACACATCTTGTCTTCCTCTTAGGAAACCACTTTAACAATAATTTTCTCACCTGTCATTCATTACATTTATACTCATTCACAAATTCTATCCTTCTAAAAGTTTTATTCTAAAAAGCTCCAAAGTCAAGCCAGTCAAATCCACATAAAATACTTCTAAGAATCCAAAAGTAAATGGTAGGAAAAGGTCACTTTTGTTAGAGGCAGGGGAGGAGGAACCAGCTGCCGAGCAGGAGGAAGAGGATTTCAAGAAAAGGGTTAATTTGGGAACTAGTACCTTTTCCCAAAAGACAATTATAGAAGTGGGATTAAACAAAATAATAAAATGTTCTCACTAATCCCTCCAACTGACTTGTAATGTGATGTATGCATCTTCCCTGAGAGAAGGAGCCATGAATTTCATAGCACGAGGCCTATCATCCCAAAAATGTTCAAAGAACTATTGCTGAATGGATACATGAATCTAAATGGATATGTTTCTTTAAAACATAAGGTTTAAAAACCTTACTAAGCTACATGCATTCTGAGAATAAGCTGCCAGGCTCCAAACATTTTCATAACTATCTGGATATTAAAAATGTGCTGTAATTTTTTTGATAATACCCAAAGATGTGTTTCAAAAGTGATTCCTTATAAAGAGGTTGTGCTAAAAGCGAAACAGGAATATTAAGCCTCCCCCTCTTATAGTCAATTTGACAGGTAAGTCTGTATTCTAAAGTTAGCTTAAGGCAGATTATACAGAAAATATTACAAAGAAAATCAGTAAAGTGGATTCCGCCGGATTAGACAAGCTGGAAGGAAAAAGAAAGAAGGGCAAAATGTTTGAAGAGGATGAAGGAGAACAGAGAGCAGCATGGCGACCCCAAATTGACCACATTAAAAAGCAGACAGCAACACAGGACAACAGAGATGGCAGGACAGCAGGCAGGACTCTGTGATGTCAGATTTAGTGGTCAGAACACCTGAGGTCAGACTGCTACTTTTAAGTCTGAACAATAAACTTTAACAACGTAATGGAATTAAGTATTTTTAGTATGAGCCAAGGGGAAGCAATGCTCTTCCTCAACTGCGCAGCACCTGCAGGGCCAGACTCCCTTCAAACCCCAGCAAGGCGGCCAGACTGAACTGTAAACAGATTTCCAAAAATCCAAGAGATTAGGAAAGGCAGGAAATTAAGCTTTTAAAAAAACTGTTTTGAGAAGACGGAAGTGAATACTCGTCATAGAAGGAGCATTTCCTTCACTTGGAGGGAAGGACATCAACAACCTTCTTCAATGTCCCCAGGTCGTTATGATGGAAACGAGACTGCCTGACAGTGCGCAAAGGGGACCTCGCTGGTTTCCTGACTCAGAAAGCTCATGGAGCTTTGGGAGATGGGGATGCCAACTTGAGCCCAAAAGACAAAAGGAACTCAAGAATCTCTGAGTCTCAACACCAGCGGACAGTAATTCAACAGCCTAGAGACACTCTGCAGATGACCCGGGTGTAAAAAAAAAAAAAAAAAAAAAAATCATCAAGGCGTACACAATGACCTTATTATGTGTCTTGTTTAAAATACTGATTAATTTCAGATGAAGAGTTTACTAATTCACCAGTTGCATATAACACAGTACTCATCACATGCTGTACATCTGAACCAAATGATGTCCTATATGTTGGCTAATTGAATTTAAATAAAAAAATAAAAATACTGATTAAAATGAATACAATTTAATAGACTTGAAATATTTGTCCTATGATAACCTGCAATTTTATTATTTATTTATTTTTATTTATTTATTTATTTATTTTTTAAGATTTTATTTATTCATGAGAGACAGAGAGAGAGAGAGGGAGAAGCAGGCTCCATGCAGGGAGCCCAACGTGGGACTCGATCCCGGGACTCCAGGATCACACCCTGGGCTGAAGGCAGCGCTAAACCGCTGAGCCACCTGGGCTGCCCTAACCTGCAATTTTAAAGTATAAGACAAAACGTTAAGTTTGTCTGGCATGAGATCCCAGCGAACTTTCCAAAACAAGTTTCCAAAAACAAGAAGCTACTCCCCAGGCCAAGTTGTCATTCTTTCATACCTTTTCCTTTTTGGACATTTTTCTCTGCTTCCTCAAATAATCCGGGAAGATGAATTACCACACCATTTCCTAAAGGAAAACAAAGAAATCCCAACCTTAAATCTCTATACTCATAATACGAACATCTACAATAACCCATATATCTAGAATAGTGAGAGTGAAGGACTTTGACAAATGGGACATCTGATTTATCAGGGAGTTAGTTACCACAGAAATGATTTAAACAGTAGTTTTAAACAGTAGTGTAATGTAAATACATAATACATAGAGCATAAAACATTAACATTATATTTGGTATAATTTGAAACTTCTTTGAAACCAAGTGAAACTGTTCTTTTGAAAGAACCAAGTTATATGTAGTTCTAGGCAAACTGAACCAGGTTACAGTAGATGCTAAATCAATGCCTTTCAAATTAGGGAATCACACCCTATTAGTGGTCATAAAATCAATTTAGTGGACTGTCATTAGCACTTTTAAAGATAAAATAAAAAAAAAAAACTATAGTAAAAGATTGCAGATTGCATCATGTTTTAAGGGCTCAGAATCAATCCATGAAACACTTCTTGTATTGCCTACTGGGCATCAGTGTGTGGAAAGCTGACTTGATGCTCTATGACTACAGTTAAATGCAAATTTCTTAAAAAAAGATTTTAAATATTTATTCATGAAAGACACACAGAAATAGGCAGAGACAAAGGCAGAGGGAGAAGCAGGCTCCCCGCAGGGAGCCCGATGGGACCTGATTCAGGGAATCTGGAATCACACACTGAGCTGAAGGCAGATGCTCAACCACTGAGCCACCCGGGCATCCTCAGTTAAATGCAAATTATTACAAAAACTATTAATGCTAAAATACAAAGTTGTAAAATAGCCAGTTAGGTATATTCCAGAGGGTACCAAGGTCAAGTTTAATAAGGGATCAATGAATAGTGAGAGATGAAATCAGCTCAGATGATGAAAAATAAATACAATTATCAATTGAGAGGGGAAAAGAACCCAAGTGGATCAGTTTATACACTTACCAATGAATGCGGTAACATTTGGATTAATTATTCCACTGGGCAAAAGATGAAAATCATATTCCACAGAATCTACAACAACTGTATGGCCGGCATTATTTCCTCCCTGAAAATACAAGATAGGGGAAAATTGCACCTGACAACAAATATGACAAGTAACACATCTCCGTTCCAAAGTGAATTAATAATTTCTTCCTAAACTGTCAATATAACCTAAGAAAACCCAAGTATATATTTGCCACAAATACTTATTCTTTAGAGGCTTTGGCTTCTAACAACAGTTTGGCTACCCTCTCTTCTTTCCCCACCATAATATCTTGAGTGTTTCTTTCCAGACAGGACCTAGAAAACTGAGGAATTTGGGTTTCTAGAAAGGAGAAAGATGTATCTCCTCTTAGAAAAAATGTGAAAGAAGTATAGGGAACAAATTAGTTATTTTATCCTTGGCACTCTGTAAAGCATGTAGTAATCCTTTTTTTTTTTTTTTAAGGATTTTATTTATTTATTCATAAGAGACACACAGAGAGGCAGAGACTTAGGCAGAGGGAGAAGCAGGCTCCCTACTGGGAGCCAATTCCCCAGAATCCGGGATCACAACCTGAGCCAAAGGCAGAGGAGCCACTTAGATACCTCAACATGTAGCAATCTAATTAAAATCCCATTGATATTTTATCCAAACACAGAAAAATCCCTAAATTAGCAAAGTAATCTATCTAGTTACCCTAATTTATGTAAACATTCACATAATTCCCCCGTTGTACTAAAGAGGGAGGGTGTCAAGCAGCTTTGTGACCTGAAATTTGTATTCATACATGGACTTAGGAATTAGGAAATCTCCAAAGGAACTCCCTCAAATATTGGCTACCCTGAGACTCTAATGTTTAAATTTATAAGTCAATCCTGTGAGTGCGTTTAGCACCAATCCCTGAATCCACTCAGCTCTGGATACAGTAATATGCTGGATGAAGGAATCTCTAAGCTGAGAAACATACTATAAACCCATAGTGAAACTTCCATTCCATGAAGCTCATGCCTAAAATGGTCACTAAAAAGCAAGATATGAAGTTAGATTATAAAAATTAGGTATAGCAGACTGGTAATTTTTCTAAGTTTAAACTTTTTAAAAAGCATAGAAGAAAACACAAATCAACTAATTATATGTTTAAACTTCTACATGATAGTAACAAAAAGTTTAAAGCAAACAAACCAGGAACATACTTGCAACAAATAAAAACTTTAACAGTATCCGGGTTAGACTTTTAAAAAATACCAATCAAAACTATGTCTCCCGAGAATGACTAGTTTAACTTTATCTTGTGGCTATTTTTTACAAAATGAATGTGATTTACTTTTACCAAATCATCACCAATCACAAATTCACAAAAAATTCCAGAAAAAAAATCCTCAAGAAAGTAAATGCCGATTTACACTGTTTTGCATGGATGAAAAGCGACGAATTCCTTGCTTGAAGAGCAACATACATAGTGTATGTTGAGTGTGTTTAAAACAAAACAAATAAAAAGACTTGACAGCTGGGGGGGGAGGGGGCTGCAGTCAGGAAGACACCAGGCAGGAGAGCACAAGACACAGGAGGGCAGAGGCAGGAGTGATAAGCAATACCTCCTCCCCTGGTACACCAATGACTCTTTCCTATTCATTTTTTAATAGGAAACATCTGCATATGATACAAAAGGCACAGAAGGATACACAGTGAAAATGAAGTCTTCCTCAAATCCTTTCCCCACCTGCCCTTCCAAGCTCCCGGGCAGCCAGTTGCCACCAGTTTTTAGTGTCCTTCTCCAGGTTAAGTCTGCATAAGCAAACAGTTATTTGCATATTGTTTTATTCCATGCATACAAATGGTAGCAAACTATATACACCTGGGCAGCTTGTTTTTACTTAGCAAATCTAAGCACACATTCCTAATCTTGTAAACCAAACCACCTCCTCCTTTCAACAGCAACACTGTATTGCTTCCTATGTGGACACGTGTAATTTATTTATCTGGTCCCTCAAGAGAGGTAGCTCAGTTGTTTCCAACCTTTTGTCATTATAAATGTCACAATACACTTCTTGGTACACACTTTATTATTGCTCCATACTTGTGCAATTTTATCACCCATTCTGATAGAGTCCTAAAATAAAAATAACTCACAGGACAATTCTTACTTGGTTTCTTTAACTTTCCTTTTACTCTATCAATATTAGCCTTTTTATTACAACTTTTATGATTTAGGAAACCTACTCCAAACTTTCAGGAAAAATCTTTTCAGAATATAAAGCTCCTTAAAATTTCTTAAGGTCCTACAAAGATGCTAATGTTAGTAGAATTATTTCTCAATTTTTTAAATCACTAAGCCTAATAAATTTTCACTAAGATTGTTTAAAGTACTAGTTAACTTTGTCACACAAAAAAGTTAAGTATAATTATCTAAGCAAAATCAGTTTATTTTTTTAATCCATCATTTGCTTAAGTAAAAACTCCGCCATAGGGGTGCCTGGGTGGTTCAATTGGTTAAATATCAGCGTTCAGCTCAGGTCAGGATCCTGGGGTCCTGGGATTGAGTCCCAGGTCAGGCTCCCCGCTCCGCTGGCGGGGAGCCTGCTTCTCCCCCTGCGCCTCCCCCTACTTGCACTTGCTCACTCTCAAATTAAAAAAAAAAAAAAAAAAAAAAGATACACCATAAGCTTTGGAGTAGACCTTTAAAGTAAGTCTCCCTAACTTACACAAAATTATTTTTATAGAAATAGCAATATAAATCTTGTGCTGAAACAATTACTAACTTAGTGGTGCCCAATAATGTTCTTATTGCGTAACAAACCCCTGCTCTCTTAAATAATACTTCACTGAGATTGACAGTAACCATAATAAAGAGATGTTTCTTTCTGTAAGGCAGGTAGTTGTGCCCAATTGTGATAGATGACATTAGGGGGATAAATTGGTTTAATCTGTAAATTCTTCCAAGCTTACAGGTGATGGTTCGGGCTGCAAAAGGCTTTAATTACTTCAGTGAACAGCTGAGCTCACTCCAACATTAACCAACCTTTTCAATAATAACCAATGCCCTATTAAGGCTTACTAATATGATTTAAATCTCATTTAGGTTCTATTTAGTTGAGCAAGAAAATATGGTTAAATATACCCAGAATAACCATAGATTATCCTATTAAGGAGCTAAGGGAGAAAAATGTAAGTGTGCTTATTAGTGTGTTTGGTCATTAGTGCCCTAAGGAGAGTTGGGGTATACGGCTTTGAATCTTAAAACACACAACTGTGCAGAGAAAAGATTCCCAAGGTGAAGTGAAAAGGAGCTACTCATTAGAAGTTTTTTGACAAGGCGATCTATACATGAAGTAAGTTTTAGTATACCATCACATTTTACAAAATGCAACAGATGAAGCTTCAAATTTGAAGTGTCCATTTGGATGCTAACATAAAATATTTATAAATTGTGTGGAATATACAAAATCCACCTTGAGAACTCAGGCAATTGTCTGCAAACACAGATTATACTGGTCCAAGGAGAAGTCACATGTATCAGCAAACAGCAGAACAAGGTTTCGATAGAGCACCACTGCCAACCACCACCTCACCCTCCCACCCACCCCCTCCAGTGAATTACAAGGGCAGACAGTCTGAGCTGCAGGCTTCAACATCTGTGACAGTACTGCCTCTCACATGGGTAACTCTATGAGTGTGTGACAGAACAAGTAGCAGGAACACATACATTTAATCATGTTTAATAATTCTCGTAAGTAGAACTGGGGAGGCCAGAGAGTACCATGTAAATAGTACAGACTACTGTGGACTAGCAATTATGTTGTTTCCAAGAGAATCATATCAAGAGAGAAAACAGTTCTTAACAAATTCTCAGATGTCTTAATTTTTTAAACATTTTAAATTTTGAAATTTAAACCCAAAGACACAAAACCCCAAGACACAAAAAAACCAGCATGAACCCAAAGTGACTGCATATTATGTGGTAAGTTTCTTTGAGGAAAAATATAAATTTATGCCTTACTGATGGCTTTTTCTATACTGAATACCAAGAATAAATGTAAATTCAATATATTAAAAAATATAGGAAAAAAACCCAATCAGGTCTCATCAGTCACAAAACATTTCCTTCATTTTGACTATTATTCTTACATTAATATTAAATGTAAGAAAAAATATTAAATAAGCTTAATGACTATGAAAAAAAAAATGTGTCTCACTGACAAACTGACATAAACAAAAATAAACTCATTTCCCCCCATGATGATGGGGGGAAAAAAACCCAGAACGAAAATTTCTATGTTCTCAAAACTAAAAATCAAAGTTTCTGATGCATAGTTTTTTTTGTTTTTTTTTTTTAAGATTTTATTTATTTATCCATTAGAGACACACACACACACACACACACACACACAGAGAGAGAGAGAGAGAGAGAGAGAGAGGCAGAGACATAGGCAGAGGGAGAAGTAGGCTCCAGGCAGGGAGCCCGACGCGGACTCCATCCTGGGACTCCAGGATCAACCCTGGGCTGAAGGCAGGCGCTCAACCGCTGAGCCACCCAGGTGCCCCTGTATAGTTTTGTTTTTTTTTTAAAAAACATACTGAGATAGCTCGTTTTCATTATAATTAAAACAGTAAGAACCTATTTAATTCCAAACATTCTTCCCTCTAGAAAAACCTACAGTATATCAGACTGTTAGTGAACAAGTCACAAAAAAGAATAACCCAGAAAGAATATCTCCTCCTTCCATATTTTCCTACGTGAAATTAACTCTCAGTCATTTGTACTTTTTATTTGTTCAGTCTGTCTTCTCCCCCCCTCTCCTCCCAAACCCCTTATTTTGCAAATCAGTAATCATTCCCTCTGGCCCTAGTGATTGATCCATACTGGGAAACCTGATCCAACCAAGCCTGAGACAATCAAGCTCCTCCCCTCTTGGGAATTTGATTTTGAGTAGTAAGGCCAGCAGTTAGTTTAGGGACTGCCTGGCCCTAGCCCCAGCGTACTTAAAAAAAAAAAAAAAAAAAAAGGTTGCCAGTTCTGCCTACTGAGATCCCAGTAGTTACCTTTACCTGAGGCCACTCTAAGAACTGGCCATCCTGTCCCT